TTGTAGTGACGGCTGAGCCTGCATCAATTTCGCATCTTGTCATCCCACGTGTCCTCGGCAGGGTAGGCACGATAATTCTCTGTATCACCAGCGTCCACCTGGAAACTTGTGCCCACGGACAAGGCCCTCAGTTAGCTGAGGCGACCCAGCTCTGGCCACAGCACGGCGCGGACTGGCTCGTCCAGGCATCCGTTCCCCATACCTGCCATAACTAGCAGAAAGGCACTGTTTGAACATTGCCCAAGTTGTCGGTTCCGAAGAGGCGTTGATAGCATTGAGCTCTGGTGTGGTCTTGATCATTGGGTTTTGCCACCGCCCTAGCTCTACAAACTTATTGGCTTGAGGGATTTTGCCTCGGTGCAGTGGTCGGTGTTCCGGTACGCTTCGGAAGAGCAACTGAGTGCTTGTTCCTCCGAAAGCAGGGCCACGAAAAGCATGGAAGGAAACGCTAGCGCGCAACTTGCCATCACCAGACATCTAGAATTTTGCTTGCTCTGCAAGGACTCGCGCTGCGCCGGTCGGCCCTATTGACATCTTGGCCTCTGAGCTCCTCAGCTTGACAAGGTGACATTGGGTTCGTGAGCAGCCAGCCCCAAAGAGAATATCAAAGAGAATGATGATGAAGACTTCGCTCTGAGTCGGAATCTGACATGATGGATAGGTCTGTTTCATCTGACGCTGTTCGATCAATGCCAATTCTTCAGTGGTGGACTGTCTGAGGACTGCCGGCTCTGAAGCCACACCTTCAAGCTCATCCCAGCTCAGGTCTCTAGGACTCTAGAGACTCTAGATCATCTTGATCGGGTTCATGCTGTGCCTCTGCCTGGAGCCAAAACGGTTCCGGAATTACAGCTGTACGGCAGGGAGAACTTTGTAGATAGAAGTGTGACTCCAAGCTCGAAACTTGAAGACTTGCAGTTCACATAGGTGCCGAAAGCATCAGGCAAACGAAAGGACACCTAAAATGTGGATGTTCTTCTTGTGTGGGCTTGCTACTGTTTCATGACCACCTACCAGAGGCAGCATCACGTTCGGTAAGACTCCATGAACGATCATGAACGCATTCACTCGGGGCCCGAAGAGCGGGAACCCACGAACATCCGGGGAGTACCTTCACAAGCGCCGCGAGAGCAGTGACAAAACAAGCGGAATCTGCTGGCCTGACATTTTTGCTTGCACGTGCTGCTTCCCTACGACTCTGTTGGCCTAGGATGAGCAGAGAGTAGTGGCCTTAGTTGAACTGCACGTACGGCTGCTTGAAGCTCGGTTGTTGAGCCAGTCGAAAGACGTCGAGCCTGATGACATCTCAGCCACTGAGGTGAAGAGATGCACCTGTCTCTAAAGCGGCATAGTGCTTGACTTCCCAGAGAGCACGTCTTGTTGGAATATCTGGCTTGGGCGTTGTCATCATCCTGTGTGTTGGCACAGGGTGATGCCTGTGGCATGTTGTAAGCACGCAGGGTTTGTGTTCAAGTGCGTCCTGGGAAGCCTCCACGACACCATGTTACTAATCCGTCTGCTTCGAAGCAAATACGTGGATTGAACGTCAGAAGGTGATTAAGACAAGTTCCTGGATTGAGCTGCGGCCCAATTTAACTTCTTTGGTTCCTCAATCTCCTGAAGGATGACCGAGGGCCGTCATTATGACACCCCCGCTTTCCCTGGGCCGAGCTACGAACACGAGGGAGAGCCACGTCGAAGGACACTGTAGCAAAGATATAAGAAGGGGGGGAGGGTGCTTTCCATTGCTGTTCCGCTGTCCAGCATTACTAACGAGTGGTTGACCGCAAAAGATGGGCTCTGCCTTGAGTGGTAGTAGCTACGTCAGCTACGGAGCATCAGATAGGAGAGCATCATTCCGGGCCGCTTTTGAGCGGATCTGGAAGTTATGCATCCCGGGCGCAACGCTCGTCTTGGATGGATCTGCCCTGCAAGGTCTCAGCCTTTTCTCCTCTGCTCGTAAATGCATGGTTCTTTGATGCCTCATTTGTTCCTTAGATCACAAGCCTTTGGTTTCTTCAAATACTCGGTCAGAAGGCTGCGCAATGCCCCCGCCGTCCTCGATCCCCTGATGTGCCCAAACTCCAGAGGCAGACAGCTGCACACGTGCGGGGCAGGTCTGGTAAACACTACCCCCGCGATTTCAAGTGGGGCTGTCCTCAGTTTGCTCAGGAAACGGCTTCGTGTTTCCACAGGGACTGTGCATAGAAGAGTTCAATGCGTGAGGACGACCATGTGTGCAGGCATGCCGCCTGTGCACAACCATGATGCAAATAATTCCTGCAGGCAGCCTGCCGTTCAGAGTTTCAGACCTGTGTAGAAATTGATGGAGTTGCCATGAACTCTCGCCTCTGCCTGCCCAGCTGTTTTCCGGGCTGTGTGGGAAGGCGCGCCATGTCGCGCCGATGGGATGTTTGGCCCAAGCTCCCTATGTGCTCGATCATGGTCTGGGTGCACTGCTGCTAGCGCTTCTACTGCTTTCAACTTTTTTTTTCTGATAGCTAGTGGTGTTAGTATTGATGCTATTGTTGCTACTATCCGCGGCTATTGCAACAGCGACGGCAGCGGCGGCGGCGACGACGACGCCGACGCCGAACCACAACCCCTACCACCACCACCACCACCACCACCACCACCACCACCACCACCACCACCACCACCACCACCGCTGTTGCAACAGCGACGGCGACGACCACGACCACGACCACGTGCACGACCACGACGATGACGACGACGACCACGACCACGACCACGACCACGACCACGACCACGACCACGACCACGACCACGACCACGACCACGACCACGACCACGACCACGACGACGACGTCGACGACTTCCTCCTCCGCTACTGCTACTGCTACTGCTACTGCTACTACTACTACTACTACTACTACTACTACTACTCCTACTAAGAAGGAGTAGATGGAGAGGAGTAGTTGCGGAGGAAGTACCGCGCCATTCCAGGTGCCGTTAATGAAAGTATATAAAAATAGTGCAGCATTCGTTGAAGACTGGGGAGCTTGCGGTCGACTTTCCTCTGGCCACGGCCTGTGCTCAAGAACTGAGGATGTGAAAAGGCACGAATAAGCATCACGAACCATGCAAACGTGTGATGAGTTGATACTGAAGTTCACACTTGCGAGGCATCGTACGACATGTTAGCAAGACCGGAGAGGGGTAATGGTTCGTGGTTGAGGACGTTCCTTTTCCTTGTCAAGCTTTGCACTTTTATTGTTGTATTCCTATTGTGACACAGCGGCTGACTACGACTGCCGGACGCCTGGCGGAATCGTCGCTTTCGAGGATTGCGCGAATGTGCGGCACGATGTACATGTTGGGCCAGCAGCCCTGAGCAGTCCGTTTGCGGCCACGTGGATGATCATCGTATATCCTTCCTGAAATCAATGAGAAATCTGGGTATTGTATGCGCGCATGGCATATGTTTGCACATGTATAGTGTTGTAGACTGACCTATTCTTTGCTACTTGTACCAGCGAGTGATTGGACTTTGGGGTCTTTAGGTGGTTTCAGGTATCCTCACAAAGAAGGCATAGCGTACCGGCAAGCTTTGGACGAAATAGAGAGGACTGAGCTCATTGCTGTTGGCCAGCTGCTTGTCACTACTGCAGGTGTCCCCCGCATTAGTCAAGGAGATGGGGCCAGTCACAAGTGGCTGGCCAGAATCGCCACATGTCGCCACCGGTAACAGCGGGAACTGCGAGTTGATCTGAGCCGAATCTGAGCACCAAAGGCGACTCCAGATCTTGGCCCACCGTGAAAGAGTCCACTGCTTGTTCGGCAAACTCCTGCGTGCCAGGTTCCTGGTTCCTGTGCTTCGGAGTGTAGAATATAGAAGGGGGCCAAGTGGGTGCCTCGCAAACTGCGAACTTGCTGGAGTCGCTTGAATGGCTGGGAGCGCTGAGGTCTTGGCTGCAGGATGAGAGCCCCCGGCCACAATGCTACAGTGTTAGAAATCAGGCTTGAGTTAGGTGGATACCTGGCCTCTGTAGAAATGGAATCTAGAACCGGACGCGCGATGGTCACCGCGAGAGGTTGCTGGCAACATGTCCGCAGCTTGGAGTCAGTGCACAGGTGCTGATTTCTGTTGCCATGCGGAGGCATCGAACAATGGTTTGATGGTGGGCCGAGTGCCGCACTGATTCATTAAGGCTGCCGCAGCTGCTGCGCACACAACAGGTAAGGAGAACATCGCGCCGTGCGATTCCCAGAGTTGTCAAGTTTGCAAACTTAACTAGGATGAAGCACATCACAAGTTTCGGCGCCATGAAACAACACCGACTGAGATCTCCCCTCGCACCCCTCCTGCCCCCAATACCCCCAGCCCCCCCACTCCACCGACCAAACCTCATCGCAGGGGTCGACTGACTTTTTCGGATTGCTTCTGGCGAATTGTGGTCTTTATGATTTTGAGTTGTGGGGTGTTTTGTAATTCGATGCTGGGATCGGCTTTGACAGCACGAGTGGAATGGCTGCCGCCAAGAAGGCCTGACATAGGTTCCTTGTAATCTAACATTTTGAGGAATGAGACCATGCGGCCCCGCCCACACTCAAGCAGGGGAGTTTGCCAAAGGTTCGCGACTCCCTGCCTTGGTCGTAGCCGTGGCACATGAGCATAAGGCCCAGCCAGAAGCAACAGAAATCCGGATTAGTCGCCCCTCCTGATTGGGCGACACGCCTGCCTTCATGGCTTTCTTAGCTGCAGCACTAAAATGCTAAATTAAGACCCAAATTTGAATCCGCTAATCCGATTCCGACAGCAAGCTCCAATCTCCCTAAACACCCGGGGGTTCCCATAAGCAGGATTTAGTAAGTTGAATCCTATCGGACGGCCTTAAAATCGAGGGATGGGTGACAACACTCCGCACGCCTCGACAACATCAACTTCAAAACGCTGTTTCAGCGAAAGCAATGTATGTTTGAACTCTGCCCCCCACGTTAACACTACACATGTCTAGCATGCTCGGCCATGCCATGCCATGCCGTTCTCGCGGAGTGTGCTGGTCTTGCTGGCCTCGGCATCATGGGGCCTGGTGCATGCAGCGCCCAGCTGCCGGAACCCGCTCTTCCCCGTGCACTGGTCAAGAGTGCGCCCGGGGGAAGCTGGCGAAAGTCAACAGAAGCTGTTGATTCATTTGATTCCGAATTGCTGGTTGGGTTCAGGTGTTGAGCCCTCGGCACGTTGAGTCAAGGGAACGAGAAGCTGTTGTGGTTTGAGGGCGTTGGCTTTATGGCTGTTGTTGCATGAACTTTTTCCCTTGACATGTACTGGGGTCGACGTAGTCGTCGCGACGTGCGGACGCGAAGTCAGGAGTGAACGCTTCCTGAGCCTCGAATAGTCGCCACGAAGGGCTTCTTTAAGGCTGAGCTAAGCAGCTAGGACTCGGCCGCCGGCAGAAACAAATTGCAGGTCCCTTCACTGGCCCATGCGTGGGGGTACGACGTCTCAAAGGGGTAGTCGTCCGATTGTATAAGGCCAGTACAAGGCGTTCATCAGAGTAGCAACTCCATGTCGTCATCCTTAAAGAGTGCATAATCTCCTGAACCCGATGTCGGCCTGCAGCAGGAATGCAGCCGCATGTGCCCGAGCCTTCTCCATGAGGATGCAGCAGTGTCGAATAACTTGACAGCTTGTCCCCACTGGAGTCCTGACAAGCATAGTTTGCAGTTGTGAGTGCAAGCCTGCTAAGAGATGCAAGTTCTCGAATCAGTGCAACGTAGGGGTGGTTGAGTGCTGAGGAATGGTTTGGCGAGCTGTTGCAGCACTGGCCTGGAAGCAGTGCAGCATCGTGCATTTGACCCATGGATGCCAGTCATGGACCAAAACCACGCCCGTTGAGGGGTTACCTGCAAGAATCGCAGGTTGCCAGCACTCTACTAAGTGGCCACAGCTTAGGCCCAGTGGAAACTATCGCTGGGAGAAATCATCGTGAGCTGGAGACGCTACATGGCAGTTTATACATGCCAGCTTGGTTGCCGCAGGAGAAATGCCAAGTCGGTGAGAGGCGAAGTTCCGAAAGCTACCACCCGTGGAGTTTGGCTCAACAAGTTAGAGATAGAAGCCGGAGAGAGCCTGCAAAGAGGGGCCATGGGGTGCACAACCAGCCAGAATGCCTCTTCGCCAGTGAAGGCAGTGCCTCCGTTTTCTTTCTGGGGAGGTTATATATGAGGTTATGACTACCGTAGCACCCGGAAGCGTTCGTCGGCAGCTACATGCCCGCATTTCTTTCTCGCTGAACTAGAGCCTAGAAGCAGAAAACATCCGGGTTGACTGGCTGGGGTTTGTGGAGAGTTCGGGCACGAATTGGGGCCGGATCGCGGATCACGCAGGTTCGTGATTAGGTTCGGAGCGTCGGTTGTTCTAGGCCTTGACCAAAGACACAACCAATTAGAAAGTGTGAGATCCGCAGCCACACACCGCCATTGCACCAGGAGAAACCCTATGAGGCCTAGACGCTCGTAAGCCCGTAGTCACCGTAGTCTCCAGAAGTGCAGCTGCTGCAGCGTGAGTGCTCAGAGGCCCCAAGAAGGTTTTAGACGTCATCGTTTTCAAATGGCGCTCCGTCATTGGACAGTTCTCGTTAAATCATTCTAAAGTCTAGGCCCACAAATCGAAGAGGGCAGTCCCAGACGCTGCAGGCCGAATCCTAGCACTATCCTAGCAGTAGGAAATGTCATGCTTGACCCCAGCAGTCTTTGTAAAGGTTTCTGGGGCCAGCCCCATTCATTCCAAGAAAAGCACCTGAACCTTGCCGCCCTGAGACGAAGCTGACGGACATGATGTGCAAGTTTCCGCTGCGGCAACCCTGCATTCCAGGCAGGAAAAGAAGCATCATCAACAAAATTAAAAAAATCGGTTCTGGCCTTCAAGAAGCTTCAGACCTGCAGGGATGGTGGCCGGTGTTTTGTACCAAGCTCAAGCCAAGAACAGGCAATGTGCTTTTGGCTGGTGACCTTCCTGAGACGGTCGTTGGGGAGCTTGCGGCTCTCTGCAAGGGGTGGCTGTACATCAATCCGGACAGCGATCCGACGCTTGTAGATCAACCGAGGCGGTTGAGCATTGAGCCATAAAAGCCCAAGCACGTTCAGAAGCTTGCACCTTGCCCAAGATCAGGAACTTCTTTCCGGAAACTGTAATGGCAAATGGCTCGGACCTGATGGTGCTTCCCTTCCAGTGGCTTTCCTGGAATGAGAGTTTCTTCGCCTTTCAGACTTCACGTTTCATGACATATTGCGTGCTCAGTGAACGCCAAGGACTGGCGCCTCGGAGGGCTGTGTGCAGGCGCTCATTGAGGTGGGCTGCCACGGCAAGGGTCCAAGGGCAAGCGGCAGCAAAACATCAAAACACCATCGGATGACCGCAGCAAATTGGAAGCACCAGTTGCATCCCGATCGTGTCCAGGAAGCTTCTCATGTGCGACAGACCCTAAATCATGATGCACATATATTGGAGCACGCCAGCAGCATGGGGTCTTTCCGGTAGTTGAATAGTTGTGATACCCTGCAGGCTATTGAGGAACTGCCGCGGCCACTGGTCATCCAATGCACAACTGCGAACCGATCTGGTGGGCCTCAGCACAGTCATGATTCTGTGGGGTGTAGGTCGTTGGAATTTCGTTGGACAAGCTGTCAAGGCCTAGCGCTCTGCGCTCAACATCGTTTTGAAAGTCTAAGGTGAGGGCTCGTCCATGCTTTACAAAAATTAGAGGCTGCCATGTGACCATGTGACAGTCGCATTGCTACTGGAAGCGATTGTGTAGAAGGACTAATTAAGGACTATCTGGGAGTGTGGAAGAATTATTGACAAGACCAAGTCTAGATTTAGCAGAGGAATCTTCGGAGCCTAAAGGATATGTGGGGATCTCTCAGCAGACCAGGCATCGCCTTGTTGCTGTGGCTGGCGCACGCGCGGGGTTACACAGCTGCATGTGCGGATCGCCTTGTCAAGGACAAGCTTGACAGTTTCACTTTCATAGGCCAAGGTGGGGGGGGGGTGGTGTATCGGTTGTGAATAGAGATGGGCTTTGTAGGCCTTCAAATGGTATTGCGTGTTGATGAGCATCCTGGATTGCCGACCATCGGTTTGCATGAACACCTGGTGAGTGGAGTTGTAGAGCTGCCTCAGTCCAGGACCTCGAGTTGGACACCGTGAAACCGGATGCGTTGGCTTGGCTGTATGGGACGCTACCAAAGCTGAGTTCAGGCCTCTTCCATCGCTTCTGGTGGTCTCTGGGTGCTGTGTCCGATGCTCTTGGATCCAGTGTCCCAGAGGCTGCCATGGTCCGCTAGTGGAGCACAGCCCGGAGGCCAGTCAAACTTGAAGCCCTAAGTCGGAATTCTTCATGAGGTTATCTGATTATCTATCTGTGAAGCAAACGGGCGCCAGCAGAAGGCGACTGCATTCTGCATTGCTTGAGCCGGTCTCAGAAGGTACTACAGTTCTGGGATCCGAAGTGTCTGGGTTGCAAGAGAAGGTCACGGCAGATGCTTGTAAGGCTTCCGAACTAAGATGCTGTCGTTCAAGAAGCGGGTTTACGGGTTACTGATTCCTTCAGGAGCCACACTTTTACTTACTTGGTTCGATGCTCGGAGACGAAGGAGGCCGTGCTGATTGACCCAGCCGCTTGGCTTACGGCCTTTGATCTTTGCGGGGCCTTGGCACGTCTTGGCACACTGACTATCTCTGCCGAAGTGAAACGAGGTGCTACATCAGGTCGACCGAGACTTAGCGGTCCTGAAGGACCCTGCGGCCGCTTCCCCCCTCAAGGTCGTGGGTTGGCGGTGAGACTTCATCGTCCTGAATCATCCCTGGGGTTGGAGAAGGTGTGGATAAGCCTGAAAGAAAAAGATCCGGTACACTCTATAGTAAACCCATCACTTTTAGAATCGTATGGCTCCCTTTTTAAATACATATAAACTCATCCCTTTTGACATCATATGAAGCCAGACCCCGCCCCGGGATCATTTCGTTTTGGGGGGGGGGGGGGGGGGGGGGGGGGGGGGATGGTGACACTAATTTAGCATCCAACAGTAGTGTGAAACGGCATGGCGCTCTTGATTCAGTTGAATGTCAGGGCCAACTCGTTCGTACAAGTTGGGTGAGCACATCGCAAGCTGTGCCCACAGTTCATAGGGTAGAAGGCAGCTGGCAAAAAGAGGTTGGAGGAATGTGCGTCCATCAATCATGCTGGGAAGGGAGGGGCACCAATGGCCACCATGGTTGTTACCCGTACTTGCCTGCTCTTTCGTCATCTTCGTGGGCAAGTCTGTGCAGGATCTGGGTCTTCAGCTAAAGTATGTCATCTACACGCACGACGGCAGGGAACATACCAGAGCAGGCAGTTGGGGAGTCAACATGAGGCCTTGAGTTGGTGCTGCTGTTTTGTTCCTTTGCTCTATTTTGCTCTTGCAGGTGCGCTGATACGGGGGCTGCAGCATGCGGAGCATGATGTGCAGACACTGGCGCAGACGGTGGTCTCGATGTCATGCCAGCATGGCGATCTTGCCGACCGGCGTGTTCGACACGGCGAGCTGATCAGGTTCGGAACATTGGCCATGGAGGCCCGAGCAGTGCCGGGGATGAATAATGGCAGCATGGCGTTGACGCTTCAAACCGCCACAGCAGGCTTTGTTTTCACAGGCGATGCGCTCTGGGTCCGTGGCAGCCCCAAGCGGGAGTTTCAGGAACACAATGTTGTGAAGCACAAGGAGTCCGTGCAGCAGCAGATCCTCTCTCTACCGGACGAGACTATCGTCTGCCCGGGTCATGACAACAAGGGCCGCAGTGTTTCTACCGTTGAAGAAGAGCGATTGTTCAACTCTCGCTTCAATCGGCCCGTTTCCGAGTTCGACGATTACATGACCCAAACCACAGCCGCAGTACACCAGCCACCTCGGTCTTACCGATCGAGCCTTGGATAGCAATGTGTCCCGTTTTGACGTTTGGGATTTCTAAGGCAAACCCGTGTTCTTGTTTGATTGTGTTTTTTTCGGATGTGATGTGTTAAGCGCGCCCCTGAAGGAATGCGCAGCAGGAGGCAGTCCTGGGCGTGGCCGCGACGGTGTAAAATTAGTCAGTGAAGTGCTTCGGCGCCTCCGAGGTCACGAAGCGAGTTGTCGGACTGTTATGCAGTATTGTGCAGTATGCCGTGTGCCTTTATGCTCTTCTCGCTGAGTCGCAGACAGGGTCAGGCAAAGACGAAGACATCATCTTTTTTCTCTGGGATTGCATCTGCTGAAAGCCGAGTTGCATCCACAGGAAGCCCAAGGATTTTTTTTGGAAAGCCTGATTGCTGGTCCCAGCAGCAGCGGCTTTAAATTCTGAGCTGCAACATGCCGCAACCTACGCTTGCAGCGTTGCAGCAGCCTTTCAGTTGCTCGAGGAAGCCGCATGATGTGAGTCTCACGGTGACGCTCGCCCAAAGCGAGGCGTGTGAGACTCACTTCTGAACACGGAGGGCCGAGCGGGGGAGAAACTTGACGGGCTCTGGAGCTGCTTCTTTGCAACCAGTCTGCAACACACTAGCAACACCGAAGCCACAACAGTGCTCAGGAAGCTATGCAGCTGGCATGACGATGCGCCAGCTCACCAAAGTGTATGAGTACTCAGGCGAGGCCGCAAGGCATCCCCGAGCTCCCGAGCTTCCCGAGATTTAGGGCATTCCACACCTAGTAAAGGGGGCCCTCACTCAGATGATGAGATGCGCGTGCTGTTCGCCGGAACCTTACTCTTAACATGTGCTGGGCATGTGTTGAGTTTTTTGGCAACGTTGGCGTTTTGCTCTGTCTTGCCAAGACTTGTGCGCTGTTATCTCTTGGATGGTCATTCTTCCAACTCACAACAGGCTGTTGAGTGGTTTTTCGTTCTTGTGCGACATGCTTTGCAATGCACATAGCACGGCATGGGGTCATTGAAGACTGCCAGCATTGCAGTCGTTGAAGGGGGTATGTTGGGAGGCCTGCATCTGCACGTTCTGTAGGACGTTTGTGCTGTGGGTTGTGGCAGTTGTGTCTCTTGTTCCTGCTGCGTTAGATAACCTCCTGAGGATGAAGCACTGGCAGCAGTGCGACATAGCACAGCGGCTGCTTGGCAGAAGCATTACGGTGTTGAAACGGCATTGCCACGTTGCGGTCGCCAACGCCCAACTGGAAATCAATGAGGTTTTTGGCCCGTGTCTTCTGTCAATGCTGCAGTACGCTGCCGGCATGTTGCTTTGAAGCAAGAGGTGAAGTCACGGGCACATGACATGGCTCGTGTTGAGAATTGGCATGAATTGGCTGCAACGTGTTTTTTGCAGTGGTGTGGCTGGCTTGGGCTGCTGTTTGATTGCCGCCTTATGCATGAAGTGGAAGCCACATACAGACCGATAGCCTGACGTTCATCTACTTCCCGATTTCTGGGAGGATTTGCTTCATGTGCGACCCGCAATGGGACACTTGGAATGCAATCCTGCCAGCGTGACCTGCAGCCTCCCTGTATGCTTCTGTCGCGAGGAAGCATATCTATACAAGTCCGAACTGCCCGTGGCACAGACTGAAGAAGAGAAGCGCTACCTAGCAGGTGGGCCCTCTCCTGCTGGTGAGAGTTTGCTGAGTTTGCTGTTGCTGTAGTTTGTTCGTTCAACTTGTGCTTGGATCAGGGATCCGTTTTGAGCCCATGCATACATTGAACTAGAACAGTACCAGGGCAGGCACTGCGAGAAAGTGTAGCATATCCGCCGGTCATGAAAGGAAGCCCACTGAGCGTGGCGGCTCTTCGATGCTCCGCGGAACTCTTTGTGACAATCCTCTAAAACGACAGGTCTACAACTCGGGGCTTGGAAAAGTCAGGGGTGAGGACAGGACCGCGACAAAGAACCCAAAACTAAACAGCACCAGCAACCATGAGCTACCAAGCAACCCTAGAAGAGGCCGCCTGCAAAAGTCCTTTCCTTTCCAAACCTCCCTTAGGCCCTTTGCTCACACCGGAGGTGCGAGCTATGACGCCGTGGCCGTAGCTTCTGGTACGTGTGCGGCGCTGTGGGCAGGCTGCGAGGCGCGCTCTCTCCCTCTCTCTCCTCGGGGTGTTGCTCTCGAACCTTGTAGGACCTAGAGTATGTCCTAGAGTGCTGTTTTGCTTCTTTACAGCTATTTGCACTTACCGGACTGTGCATGGACACATTCTGGTGCTGCTGATGGTGTACCTCTTAACTGTTATATCCTCTCATGAGATGTGCTTCATGCATGGAGTAATTGAAGAGGATCGCCCGGGCAACAGGGCACAACGGAAGAGGAACAAGAGAAGGGACGAGAGTCCTGAGAGGGCTAGAAATGGGAAGGAGTCAGTTGGGAAACTCAGGGGCCCGCGCAGATCAGAGTCAACTCATGCAGCAAAAACTAAGTCTGCGTATTCAAGGATGCCTGCCGTGTGCACTGCTCGCCGTGCGAAACGACCAGCCGCTGCACATCTAGAAGATTCCCGGGCATGCCAAGGAACTATGAGCACTGAAGTTAAGCACTCTCTATGGCCAGTTCGGCGTGGGCAAGTCGGAATGTCACCACACCAACTTGGGACCCGGATCCCCGAATCTGGCAGAAAAGGAAAAGCAGCTCGGGTCTGGGGCATATTCGGAGTTCAGGATTCGTAGTGCCCAGTGTTAAGGAACATCCCTAGAGTACACTGTAGAGGACACATCCATCTGGCAAGGCTTTCTCAACTGCTGCGCGTGATGCCTGGGCGGCTCGGCAAGCCTCAGAGAATTGTAGAGCCCTTGTCGATGCTGCAGCAGGCCGGTTTGACTCCTCTTGAGGACAAGATACTCCAGTGCCCGCTTGCAAAGCAGATCGAAGCTTGGTACTGGTGAATCTTGTGGGAAATGATGTAAAGGAGATGCAGTAGTTAGGAGTTTGAGGGCCTGATGTAAGTCTTTGAGCTCGCTCTGGGCTTTTGTGCTTTGAAGCGAGAGTATCTTGTCAAGTCTGCCTTGGGGGTGCCACCTCGCCGTCGCTGCTTTTTCACCCATGCTCAAGACAGTTCAAGACTGCCCTTGGCTTATTCTAAAGCGTGTTCTGCTTGAGGAGCAGCCTCTCCCGGATCTGCCACCCTTCTTCTCCAAGCCAGACCTGTGCGAGTGGACCCGGTGCTTTGGGCACTATTGGATCCCAGAAGTCTGGTTCTGCTTGGCATCTAAGTGCTCTTTGCCTCTGCCGAGGGCTGCCATTGCGCTGCAGCCTCTGGCTGAAACGTCGCGAATGTTGCCTGAGCAGCGCCGCTTTGATCAATTGGAGCTTTTTCAGAGGAACTCTCGGCAGAGGAACTGGATGAAGACTTGACACAAGCCATCTCTCAACTTCTAAGCGGGCCACCTTCTCCGCAAAGCAGGACAAGACACTCGAGAAAGCAGGATTTTAAGCATGACTAATAGTATTGACAAGAAAGGTGTTCGGAAAGAAGGGGCGTCTGTCACAGGGATTGGCTGAACAGGAAATGGACAGAATCCTGGGCCCAGGATGTCTGATGGTTTCCCTGCAGCCTGTCGGATCTCACACAACTCCGAGCCCCAAGTTCCTGCAACCCTCATTTTCCCTTACCTTCAATAGTGCGTGCAAAGACGGCAGTGCCTCGTCATGTTCGGCTGGGTCACCGGGTCGAAGCACCCAGGCTCAGCTAAGCGCAGCTAAGCATAGCGTTCTCGGCACTCGGACGCTCTCGAGACTCTCGAGTCTGAACGCTTGCCGGGCCTCAGCTTTCGCCAGCAAACTGCAGCAGAAAGATGGCCTTTCCCTTCCAAGGACTTCCAAAATTGCCCTCAGCCGCTTGGATTGATACCTGGCCTTGGGTGAGCACAAAATGTTCTGAAACCCCGTGCCGCACCCTTCTGCAGGCAGTTGTAATAAGAAGGGTGCCTTGTAGCTGATGGTGCACACGCAGGATGCCAGCACCACAACTGAAACCGCCTCCGGCGAGGATGAGGTGGGTCTGCGCAGGTTGCAAGAGGCGCCAGCTCGTCAAGCGCTTTTTTTGGTTTTCAGGGCCCATTGAACCAAGTGCAACTGCTTTGCTGCAAGCCGAGATTCCAGCTTGAGCAGGACACGGACGACATAAACCCATCAAACAGAACCAGCCACCCAGCAGCGTTACTGTTGAGACATATTGAGCATTCGGATGTCGAAGGCTTGGTTGCAAGAAATGCAGAAATGCCTCAAGGGCAAGTCATCTTAGGTTCGCCTTATGCTTGGGGTCGCTGGTTTCTTGTGGCAGCATTCCGGCAGCCTGACGAGGTGCAGTTCACTCCGCCCTCGGCTCCGCTTTCTGTGGGTTAAAATTGCTAGCAGTGCACGCCGCTACTTTGCACAGGTCCTGGTTGCCAAGGCGCCCGGAGCGGTTGGCTGCTGGGACCTACAAGCTACCATAAGTTATGCAATTGCCAGAATGGCCCAGAATGGCCCTTGGTTCTGAAGGTCCCTCTTGTTGCCACGAGGTGCAGCCTTAGACTTTGACGAACTCCTGGGCAGAGACGAGCTGGGTGGCTTGGTGAGATGGGACGTGCCAGCACCACTTCAGAGCTGCCAGTTGCTGCTAGATGCTCTAGATTAAGGACGTGTGCATTGCGTCTCCGCGACAAGCTTTGGCCGTACTGGAACCCCGGCAGAGCTGTACACGGCGGCGGAGGCAGAAGATGAGTTGCAGCCTCTTGCCGCCAATTCTTAAGAAGGACTGCCAGAGTGTGCAAGGCTCCGGCTTGAAGCGGGAATGCAAAGCCTCGGAGACTCAGGTCTCAGTTCGTCGTCCGCTATGCGTACAAGGTCCTGGAAGGCCCGACAGTCCACAGAAGGTTCTTTGCAAGCACAGTGAGCGGTCAGGCCAACTGTCTGTTGTGTCGCTGCACCTGAACACTAGAACACTAGTCAGCATGCAGCCGGCCAAGCTTCAAAGCCTTGCACTTGCACACGTTTCACACCAGGAGCCTGCGTTGAGTGAAAAGGGACCTAATGTTGCGCTTTTGAACCTTCAAAGAATGTAGCCCAAAGGGAAGATCACCCTCTCCGCAGCGACAGACGTTTGGCCAGCTCCGGACGCCAAGAGGAGCTTTAAAAATTGTTGTGCGAATATGCTATTAAAATATTGCATGATCATGTTGTTAATCTGATTACATTCTTTGAGCAGAGGGTCAAAACTACTTGCGGCTTTGCTTTGGGAGGGTCAAACTGGTCAAAACCCTGCGTTAGTCTGGTGCTCTCACATTCGAAGGAGGGTCGCTGGTCTGGTGGCCTTCGGCGGAAACTTGTTCGTGGCAGATGATGAGGGCCAAATTTCCCGCCTGCCTGCGGCTTCGATGGCGCAAGGAGGGAGGTGGGGTCTGAAAGCTCATTAACGAACTTAGTCATGAGCTCGCAAGCGCCATTCTCCCTGTGGCCACCAGGGATTGAATCTGACCTGCTCTTGCAGGACAGACGGTGTTCAGCTGTATGCAACGCATCTCGGCGGCAGCAACTGTGGGGGACAGGCAGGTGCGAGGTATGCTTGCTGCGATAATGACTGAGCCAACAGTTTGCAGAGAAGAGGCCAGCCGAGAGCGATGGGGCACGCCAGCCAATCACTGGTCTGGCTGTCTCCGAGAATGGGAGCGTTCTATTCTGGTGAGATGCTCAGCCGGCTCACTCTCAAAGGGTAGAGCGCCAAACAACATGCAGCTTGCTGCACTCGGACAGGTCCACTCCTTCAAGCATCTTCAAGGGTCAAAGTGATGGAGAAGGGAGGCCTCAGACGATCTTCGGTCAGGAGCAGTGACCTCACTGCAAGACGTGGTGAAGGTAGAGATTGCCGACCGGACAGAGCATTCTGCGGCATTCACGTCTCAAGCTGGTCAAACAAAGTGCATATGGATGAACTCGCCGGTTCATATTTCGCCTGTAATGCATGGGCAGATCTGCCTTACACTCCTTGCCTGCTTCCTGCAGTGTGAGTGTCGAACATGCATTCTTGGGCACATTCAACTATTCACTCTCTGCTCTTGCGTAGAGCTCTTCCGGATCGTAAGGTTACAAGAGTTGGGCGGGAGCTCCGCCATTGTTCACTTGGCATCCGATCCTCTGGACGAGCTACTGTTCTTCGCAGTGCATCGAGGCCACAGCTGCAAAAGTTTAAGTCAATGAAGTTTCAATGAAGTCGCCCTCCCGTCGCTCTCCGCTCTCCCCTGCCCCTCTTCAGGCGCCACCTCCCAGAGCTGTCGGCTCAGCCGGCTGCCGCTGCGCCCACGCCGCGGCCATGTCATCACGACTTCCTTCGCCACTGGGATATTCTGCAGCCAAGAGGGGTGCCCCCACCTCATACCCGCTTGAGATCGAGAGTGCAGCAAGGAGTGGCCCACAGAGCAGTTGTGGATCAGAATCTTGGCTTAAGCCCATGCAGTACCACAGAGTGCGCCCCCAGAGAGACAGGCAGCTTGTGGCTCGCTGCTTCGCAAAGGCGCGCATTCACAGATTCTTTACGTCGCGGCGGAGCATGGGATTTATTCTCTCCCGGTCGTCTCCAGGCTGCTTTTGACATCATCAACTCGGCACGTATCAGACATTCTTGGGATCCTTGACAGTTGAGCAAAGAGAATCAAATTCTGTTCCAAAGAGCTCCGTTTGAGTTTCGTGGGGGAGATCTGGCCAAGAATTTCTCGACATCAGTGACTCCACGCCTTGTCTTCAGCGACCAGAAGAAGCTGTTGACAAGCCGCTGGGACACGTCTCGATTGAAGACCTCGGCCAACTGCAAGCCCAAGGGTTTAGACGGTTTAGAGTTTAAGGCTTAGGGTTCAGGGTTTCGGGCTTAGGGTTTGGGGTTTAGGGGCTAGGTTTAGGATTAATCATGAGAGAATGTCAGAGACCGACCTGAGGTTTCCACAGCTTTCATGTCCGTGGCACGGATTGCGTCCTGGGCGACTGGCGAGCAGATGGTGCATGCACCTTTCTGAGCTCGTGACTGCGGCAAACACTTAGCCTTAGCAGCCAGCAACCAGCTGCTGAGGCACAAAAACTTGTGGAGGCGGAGTGCAGAAGTAACTTGGCAAAGCAGCAGTATGGTCATTGCAGCATTGTTGCATCATTGGATACCATGAGCTAAGGTTAATTCGCCCCGTTCTCACCCCAGCCGCTGGCGGTGGCCGGCCATGTTCAGAGCAGCAGGTTCGCTACAAGGCTAGTGTAGGGAGAAGTTCTCTGGGGTCCTGGAAGTTTCCTAAGGTAGGACGGCCCCAGGGTCTCGGTGTATTGTAATTCAAAAACTGCCATCCTATATATATATATATATACAATATAATATTTATCTGATTGTATGATATTCTTGTTAAAGTCAAGCCCCCCCCTCCCCCCCCGCCAAATTCACGACGGCATTCCGACATACTAGTTTCGGCTTGCAGAAACACCCAAAGCTGCTTCACCTATGGCATCTATAGGGAGATCGAGAGACAGCAGGCGTCAAGAGGAGGGTCCACATGAACCACTGAAATCAGCCCCAGCAATCCAACTCAACTTGTTTTAATCTACGGAACTTACTATCAGTTACTTCAGTGTGACAGTCCTAGAGTTCTGACATTGGTACAGGAATGCTTCGACCAGCCATGCCCGGAGAATGCTACAGATTGCCTGATGGGTTCCTCAGCTTGCAAGTGGAAGCTCGACACTGGGATCCATCCCAGTTTGGAGCGTAGCAGTCACAAGCTTGAAGGCAAAATCCGCCACGTCCACCGTAGCATAGCGCGTAGGGGGGCGCGGGAAGGGCTTCAGTGTCCTCATGATGAAGTAGCAGCTGTGCGGTTCGCTCCATGCAAGAATCCATCAGCTGTAGTTCGCGCATGTGGTTTTGCTCAGGTCAGTGGATCAACCTGGCCGTTTGTTCTGCTACCTGTGGCTATGGCAAGCTGCATCAGACCCTGCGTATGTCAAAAATGTTTCCGGTTCTGCAGCAGTTGCTGGGAGTTTGCGCAGAGGTTCCATGCCCAGGATCGGTGAGGAAAAACATAGAAACAACGAGTGACAGGGAGGCACCAAGATGACACTCGATGCCTTCAAGCCGAGGAGGCGCTCTGTCCTACGCCATGCAGCTTTCGGAGGAGCCGAATGCCCCGAAGAGCAGGAGCGCAGTGTGGAACCTCAGGTGCAATGGTATTCTGCTGCTAGGGCTCAGAGTGCTCCGTGGCAAGTGCATTGCTTTTGTAAGGATTGCCTTCTTGCAGAATGTGGGGGCTTCGATTTCCTGCTGGCGGCAATGCCTCACATGGGTCTGTCCGCTGCTTGAACATGCTGCACCCTCACTTGCCCGCATCTATGCATATGCCATATACATGTATATTATAGGATCTGTTATGTTTGTGTACTGGCTCTTGAGCCGAGCATCTGCATAAGCGCCAATCCATCAAACGCGACCTCAGTTTTCCGTGTCTGGCATGACGTCTGCATGTCGCATTACAGCGATCCGAGGGTATCATCGCAGCTTCTGGCCAAGCAGGAGAAGATTGAGTGGACCACTTCTTCCGTACCTTGGTCGAATTCACTTTTGTTCGACCTGCGGCACTTGCAGCTCCCCGAGTGAGACGCAAGCTGGGAGCAGCTGGGAGGCTGTGAATACAGTTATACACGTCTCCCGTGGCAAAGGGAGGTAAAGAGGTCCATGAAGACAGAGTGCTGTAGATGCTGATGCAACATCAGCCTGCGCACGACATGCGCCTTACTTAATCAAGACGTGGGTTCAGGAGAGAACCTGAGTCCTCAAGAAACGCTTGTGGAATACAGAGCAACCAATCGACATGCCCTCTTTCCTGAGTGCTAAGGCAGTCGGTGCTTTGGTTGCATGTGCAGATATATCTGCAACCTGGATAGCAGAAGGTGCTATAGTCATGCAGGCCATGCAGGCCACGGCAGGAGCCACCAGGGCTGGTTTTGTTGTGACGAGGTGCTGTGCACATCGGATCCAAGAGCATCGTGGCAATCGATTCGGACAATCGCTTCCTCTACATGGCATCAAGCGGAGGAGCCCCCAACTGTCAACAAAGCTCAGACGGAGTCATGCTGCTCATACTAATCTGCTGTGGCTTAGTCTTGTTAAGTCTGGTACGACACTGTCAACATATTGGAACTGGGAAGCTTGCATCTGGCGAGGAGAGAGCGTGGAACGCTGGTCGATGAGCGTAGGTGATGGCCACATCATGTCTTTCTTCGCGAAGTGGGCGGTCTTTACCCCGCAGGTTCGCGGGACAACGAAGCTTAATTATTGGTGTTTCGTTTGTATGTGGGTGTTTCATGTTTAAAAAAGAAGCTGCGACTTGTGATGTCGGGCAGAGCAACAAGCGCAAGTTTTCAAATTCCGCAAGCCTTAAATCCGAAACCAGTGGCCTAAACCCGGAGTCCACGGGCCTCTGTAATTTGTAGAGGCCTTCTGGACACAGCGTCTTACAGTCAGCCAGGCACGTGGCAAAAAAACATCGAAAACCAACGCCGGCTTAACGCTTCTCGTTTTTTTCTTTTATCCTAAACCTAGTGGACAAGCACCCGCAAGAAATAGAGGGAGAGAAAGAGCAAGAGAAAGACAAAGAGAAAGAGAAGTAGAGAGAGAAGTCGACAGAGAGAGCTTGCCCCCATGCCCCCAAGAAAGAAACAGAGAGAGAGAGAATAACAGTAAAGGGAGTCCATTTAACCCCAAAGCATGGCAAGCTGTTGACCATCATTACCCCTTGAACAGTGACCAGGGAACAGGGAGTGCCCACACACTGCCGCCCCAAATATGGCAAGCTGTTGACCATAGTTACCCCGACCGTTGCAAAGTGGGAGGCACTCACATGCAAATCACTGGGAACCCTTCAAGAGCCCAGGAGTTGCCCTGGCCAACACAACCATTTGGGGGAGTCGACGCCTAATAACCCGAGTGCCCACCCCCTCCGAACACTTAATAACGCGAGTTGTGCTGTTTTCGCCTACTTGTTCATAATGCTACCAGGGGAAACACTCGCCACATGTTTCACCAAAGAAGATCCCAGGAAATAAGAAAGCCCACAGGTCCCCGATCCGAGCGGTATGACAGGCTGTGATGTATGTACTATTTAAGTACGTGTAACCCGAGTGCTTGCAGAAGCAGCTCTGCTCAACGGACCTGAATGGGAAGTCTTGTTCCCAATGCCATCAGGGCAACACTCACCACGTTTCACCAGAGAGGATCCCATGAAAACAGGAATGAGCCCACAGGTCCCCGACCCGAACAGTATGGCAAGCTGTGGACCACAGTTACCCCAATCGCAAACGGACCTGAATGGGAAGTGTACCAGCTCGTGTCAGCCTTAGCTAGGCAGGTCTGTGTTACTGTATCATAGTTACTCGTGGGACCCGACTCAAACCACAGTGCCCATATCGATGAGCTCAAGTGATGTCCTCCCCAAACATGGCAAGCTGTTGGCCATAGTTACCCTCAAGAACGTGGGGCTACAGTGAGACACATTAGTAGGCACCATTGACCGACACCAGAGCCAAGGGAGATAATGAACCCTGGGCACCTTTTCCCCCAAGGCGTTTGTGTTCTGGGATTTGGCTCTGCCTTGGTGGGACCCCCTGCATCGTGTCGTGTCGGAAGGGAGAGCTTCCTGACAACTAAGCGGACGTTGTGATGGTTGTGTGGCTGCATCGAGGATAGCAGCTGGGGTGCATACCTATACGGGAGCTCTCGCCACACTCTCTTTCCGGGTGGGAGCATGCCTACCCCACACCTAGGGAGGCTCACTCCACCCAACTCCGCCTCGGGGGATAGAGGGGGACATTCCAATGTGAAACAACCCCAACCTGAGCGGCAGCTGTATCACCCGACTGACTCGGTGGAGCACGCCCGCAAGGGCGACCCCCTGCTGGGGGTTGAGTGCAACGGAAGGAAGGAAGAAGAATAACAGTAAAAGAAGGGCAAAACACAGTACCCCGGGGAACGAGAAGAAGTCTCACGGAGACAGTGGACTCGGGCGCGCCTAGGCGCGAGGGGTCTTCCGGGCCACCCCATGCCCTGCAGAAGAAGAAGAATAACAGCAAAAGAAGTGGAGAATGAGAAAGAGAGAAAGGCCATTGTGGCTCAAGTCAGAGCCCACCCCCGGATTAAGCCGGTGCAGAAGCCAAGGCGGGCTCAAGGCGAACGAGGGGGGAGTGGCTTAGGCGTGGGTCGGGTTGGGTCTGTCGTCATCGTGTGTTTTGGGGGCCTGAACTTTCAACCGGTTTAAACACCCCGCTCCTCACAAGTCAGTGAATATCAGCTGCCAAGAGACTGCATAGGAACACATTGTACTTGGTAGGAACACGCTGTGCTTGTGCATGTGCTGTCAGTCGTTCACCGAGACTGGACTTGACCTGGGCGCGCCCAGTGCTCAGGGGCTCTTCAAGCCCTGAAGAAGAAGAAAAAGAAAAGAAGAGAAACTGAAAGAAAGAAGGAAAGAAAGAGAGAGAACCAGAAACAGAAAGGGAACGAATCCAAATGACATACTTCGATCATCTGAAAAGTTTAAGTTCTTTGTGAAAAGCCCGGGTTTTGAGGACATGCCTGAGCAAAACCAGCAGCGCCCGCAAACCGTTTTACCCGCAAAAAGCTCGTAGTGTGCGTATTTAATATGTGGCTGCCAAGAAAGGCCAAGAACTCTGCGACCAACTAACTGCAAGCCCAAAACCCATGCCCGAAATCCATAGACGAACCAAAAGCCCTGAAGCAAGGCCCGAGACCCAGCACCTTGCCCAAGAAACGAAGCCATCCTCAAGCTTGCGACCCCGCTGCAAAGCCCACGCCGCAACCCCACTGGCGCTTTGAACAATCTTTAGAGTCCCGGAACCCCAACTCCTGTCAGAACTGCCTATAGCCGCCTTTTTTTGAAACTTGCAGAGCCTTGACACCCGAAAACCTGGTTCCGTCGGGCTGGGGTTCATGGGTTAAGGAGATCTCTAGGCCACTGTTTTCGGTCTGAGGGCTTGGAATCCAGCGACCCTCTGTTCTAGTGACAGGAACCACAAACTTACACCCGCATCCCCGAGCATCTCCACCGTTCGCCCGACCCATTGTAGAACTACAGTAACTACAGTGTGATATTACTCGGCTCTCCTACACTCAAAGCCGAACCACGTCCAAAACTTCCAGACGATGGCTGCCCAAGCCAGCCTCTGCTGCAAGTGACCTGGAACATCCTGGAACCTTTTTGTGACAGAGGTCCCATAGCACTTCCATTGAAATTGTCCTGACGGAGTCACACTTTCAGCCTCAGGACACCATTTCTCACGCTTCCCACAAACTACAGTACTTTCCCGACGACACAAGCCGCAGCTTCTTCACAGATGAAACGCCAAAACAAATTCAGCAAAGATCTATCATGGCCGCAGACTCTCGTCATCTTGTGGCATGCCGTTGTTTGCGATTTGGCGCTGGCGCTGCCAGGCGAAGGGCACGCAGCCAACAATAGTTGACTTCAAGGTCCAAGCCGCCGCCTTGTACATCGCGACCTCGGACGAGCAACCTGGTCTGAAATTGATCTGCTTCTGCCGAAGGGCTGCGTCCGACAACTGTGCATGTCTTCAGCTTGCGGGCTTCTGCAAGATTTTGTGTGCAATGCATATCACCATGGCACCATGGTTGTGTGCCGGACATGTGCACGTGCTGCTGCAACCCGCGAAGCGAAGGATGATCTCGCGAATAGATGAAGATGAACTTTGGCTTCAGATAAAGCTGTGCGCACGCAGTATTTCGGGTCATTCTTGTCATTGGGAGCTTGCATTGCTAGCAAAAAGGCATTGCTGACCTCCAGAGCCGAGCCTCCCTTGGTGCAGGTCCTGTACAAGGCACGCACGTCTTCGAATTTTCGAACGACATGAGGGCTGCATGAAGCCGTTCGATCGCTAAGCAGATGTGATGACCCCCCGCCCAAGCGAGAGAAGCTTCGGCTTTAGAACTTTCATGAAGTTCACTCACGGATTCGTCGAGATGGTCGGAGTCTTGCAGCTGGCATAAAGCGTGCCGGCCAGTTCGACATTTTTAGATTTGCCACACTCGCACCTTTTGTTCTCGCCAACGCTTGGAGGGCCTGGGGCGGCTCCGCAGCTTGTCGGTCGCAGGGACCTACCTCCTCTGGGCCACTAACAAGCAGGTGCCTCCGTGGCATTATCCGTGTCAGGGTCTCAAGGCAGCACCTGAAATCAGTGAAGCATTTCGCGAAGCACACGGCGTTGCTTGCTTCTGCGCTTGCTGGAGCTATGAAAACATTCGCAGAAACTGCAGCCAAGAATAGTCCATTGCTCACAAACCAGCTTACAAGCAATTGGAGCCACAGTCTCCACAGACCTCGCGAAACCGAAAAACTGTGCAAGCTTTCACTTAGTGTGAGGATTCGAGGACATGGGAGCGGCGGTAATGTGGTGTTTGCGTGCACTGCGAGCTGCGGGCTCTCATGCAAGTTCAGTTTGAGTTTTTGTCGAAAGCCCCGGTTTTTGCCGCATGGCACTCGTAGGTTGAGTCAAAACTGTGCCTGTCATCAATCTGGCTGTTCGCGTGTATCAGAACTTTGCACCTAGCAAGCCACTCCGCTGTGGAGGATTTGACTGCTTCACGTTCGTTGTGCACGCATGTCGCATGCAAGTGTCACGACGCATGTTGCTTCTTGTAGTTCCACATGTTACTATCGTGGAAGTGTCGAGGACATGACCAAGACCTTCAGAAGAATAGGATCCAGGGCCAGTGTGTGTAGGAATCGACACTTTCTCTTTCGTAAGTAAACACAGAGTCTCACCAGCCTGCCTGATCATACCCTACAAGGCTGCAGCCCTGTGAACCCTATGCGCCGGCTGCTCCACGCGTTTGAAGGGATGCTTGGTTTGCCATGTTTGGAGGCCAAGAACGAAGACAAAGAGCCAAAGGGGAGTGAGGAAGTTTGAGCCAGGGCGATTTTTGCTAAGCAGGTCTCATGACGACAGGGAAGGCCACTCGAAAGGACATGTGCCTCAAACCGTCGTGAGGCTTAGCAGCTTTGCGGCCAATTGGCTTCAACAACAATCGTTTGCCTCTTTTCGGGGAGATCGAACAAAAATGCTGAGGTGGCAGAGGCACCTGGCACCTACCAAGAGGATCACATGTTGCAAAGAAGGATAGCAGCCGCAGTGGGCTGGAGAGATCAAACAGTAGGGCTTGGAATCAAGCCCACTTGGATGCAAATCTTGCCGCTGCACGGCTTGACGGCTCCATTCTTGTGTAAATGGGAGACTTGCTCGGAAGGCCGGAGGCCCCAAGCTTGCTCCGACTTTCATTGAGCTCGGTTGGGGGGGTGTTTTTAGTCCACGGGCCCCAAGGGACACGGTTTTCCCCCTCGACTGCTTTGGCGTACAGAGACAACTTGAAGTTCTACTAACATGAGGGATGCATAATGCACCACTTTTGCGCTGCACTGGGACCGCCGTTTCAACGTGCCCCGAGGGTGTTCCAGTTGCAAGGTGTTGCACACCGGGCATTCCCGGCTGTTTCTGATTCGCTAATTCTATACTTTCTCTGTGGGCGTTTCTACTCATGCTCTGTACTTCTCAATGCCATTCGAGGGCAGTGCTCTTCCTGGGGGGGGACACCTCTGCCGGTTTGACAGAGCAGGTCACTTTGGGCACCGTGGATGGGCCGGAAGTGCTGGTAACCGAGCGACCGGTTCTGAGCCGCAAATCCCTAGAGGAGCCCTGAGCCCCTTCTTGACTTTTTGACTTTTTGACTTTTGACTTTTGACTTTGCTGTCCGGGCCTCATTGTGTCGCTACGCGTTGCCAGCCTCGGCCGGGCTTAAGTCTCGAGATTCAGGAGTGGGTCCCGTGGGTTTGGACCTGCCGGGCTCCTACGAGCCAGGCATCGCCAGAAACGGTAACAAATGCTTCCATAGCACTTCCACCTCAACAACCGTTCCACATCCTGCTCTGCTCTTTTGGCAGTCGCTCACCTCCTCGCGCCCACGTGCATAGCACCACCCACGCACACTCTAAACGATGGGAGCGGCTGCATGACAATGACTCAAATGCACGCCGACGCACTGCACATGCTACACTCAGATGCATGATGATGCAGAGAGTTTGCAATTAGAGCAGTAGACGTGGGGGCCCTGTTGAGTTGGATCGGGTATCTATTGCAATATTTAAAGTTGATGGGGCGCAAAAAGCAGGACAACCAAAGACGGTGTCAGTGCAACCAAACCTGAATCCTTGCTTGCTTCGATTCGCCCACCCTCTTCGAAAAGGGAGCATCCCATGCCAAATTCCGGTAACGTTCCACGTCAGCTCTCCACTGTTGGCATGTCCGTGCACGGGACCTGGCCCTTATTCTTAGAGCATCCCGCGCACGGGACCTGACCCTTATTCTTAGAGCATCCCGACCCACTGGGTAGACTGGCAAGAAGGCCCCGATCGTAGCAGGGAGCCTTTCAGGGTTCAAGCTGGTAGGGAGCAAAGGCGGATCGGGAGGATTAGGTGGTGGGGAAGTGAGACACTTTAGAAGTTTCGGCGTGCGCATCACAGTTATTGGTGGCCATTCTGCATCACGTTGTCAGCGGTAAAATTCAATGGTCGGTCCCAATAATTGGAGAGCGGGTAGCGACTTCATGCAGGACTTGGTCGGCTCGTCTTCTGAGGCCTCGCGTCGTCACGGCAGCCAAGACATGCATCACACATTGTCAATGTTATCATGTGGTTGAAATCTTGAGCTAGCATGGTAATTTGTGGTCACCGGAATGGTGGAAAGAGGTCGTCCAGGTGGAGCTGCTCTGGGATGCCAGCCGTTTCTTCCTTGGAGCTTGGGACGACGTCCAGAAAACGATGTCTATCTTCCAGGCGTCCGTGGCACTCGTTCGAGCCACTTCATGAATATGCAAGTGCTGCTTGTTCAACATGGAGGTCGGACCAGAAGCTTCGTACGGGTAGTCTGTCTAGTGCACAGTGCAGCACGGAGTTCCCAGCTGCAACAGTGTAACTGTAGTTCACAAAACGTGCTCGAGAAGACTTGAGCAAAGTAGCTGCTACATACACCGAGTCGAGTGACTTTTTGCGCATGTTGAAGGTGTCCATCTCACCGGACAGCCTTGCCAGTGCAATTGTCGAGCATCAACAGCTTCGGCAGCTTCAACAGACGTGGTCTACTCAAGCTGTGAGATGCCTGGCATGATTTCGACTGAGTGACTGGCCATGACTGGCCACATCTCCAGTCAAGGCAGGTTTCGTTGGCAGTTACTGCCAGTTCTTACATTTGAGGCAGTGCAATCGGCAAGGCAATGCCTCCTTTGAGACATGTTGCGCTCCTCAACGCTTGAATGCTACTTGTAGGCTGGACCTTAAGAAGGTCTGAACATCTTAGCTTTGCAACATGTGGCCAGACTTTACAGAGGGCCGTGTCTGACGAGGAATCCTTGCAACTCCATTCTCTGCATACGCGGGGGACTTAGCCAGCTTGGTCCTCGAAGGCTATCTCCCTGGTTGGTTGTCCAAGCTGTACAGTATCTCGAAATTGCAAGCGCAGGTTTATAGCCATCTCCAAATCTGGAGTCTGCCTCTGCATTTGAACGAGGACGGGGTTAGCAGGTTCTGCAGATAGCAATTACAAGCCCGACCTGGCCTGCGGCTTCCAGGACACCTCATTATCCTTGCTCTACGAGCCGTGACCCCAGAGATTGGTAGTTGCCCATTCCGGGTCACTCATGGCAGGGATCATTGCTCAGGTCAAAAACTGCCGCGAATATCTCTGGCCTTGGATACTTCTTTCAGAAGGGCTTGGCCACTTGACCAAAAAGCGTTTCCTTGGACTTAGGCTAAGGGGTCCTGAGGAGGGGGCCTTTAAGGGTTCTTGGGGTGTTCTCTCATTTCGGGAAACCAGGCGTCCCTATGACAGGACTGTGCAGTTTCGGCCTGGATCAACGTCTCACTTTGCAGCGCCAGCTGCGGCGGTGGCGACTCGGCCCTTGGCATGCGCTCTTCGACTCTTCGGTCCCACTGCTAGAGGGGTAGAGGTTTCCAAGGCGATGTAAGCGAACATGTGGGGCTTGCTGAAGAAAAGGCGAGTTGTGTAAAGCTGAAGCTTTGGCGATGGCTCAGTTGGTTCAGTGTTGGTATATTCTTGGGACTCGGCAGGACTTGTACGGCAGGCTCGTGAAATCCTGGCGAAGGCATCTGAAGGCCAGCAATGTGCACATGCATGCAACCCATCTTGCACAAAGCAGGCGCTGCAGTAGAGGGGCCCTGTGACCACCAAGCCCTTTCTCGCAGGTGGAAGTCCCTGCCCTGCTGAGTTGGAAAGGGAGCAACTTGTCGTTTCAACCAGAGCCAGTGTATCTCGCATCAGCAGCCCGCAGGACCAGCAAGTAGGAACTAAGTAGTTGGCAGTAGTTGCATCTGTTTTTGTTGGGCGTCGTCAGTCAGTCTGTAGGCTGCCATGCAACGAACTTCAGTGCCCGGTGGACTGCAAGATGAGCGACTGGAAAGATGAGGGTTGCTCGGCATTGGATGGCAAGTTTCGTGCCCGCAAGCTACAAAGTCACGGGGTCTTCCTCGAAACATCAAGACACATCAGGCTTGGGCCGCCGGGCCTCCTTGTATCAGCCAAGAAGCATCGGCAGTTTAATTGGTCCCGTGCGAATGTTCAGTTTTCTGGCGCAGCACAGCTTAAGGTCCAGAGCTCACATTGCACACTGGTCTCAAGGTTCTCGCCAGGGAAGTATGTACTGCTTGCCGAAAATGCACTCGGATCAGGATGAGGTTGTACTGTGAAGGTTGTGGCAAATGCATACCATTTGTATGCACTTACGCTAGTGGAGTTGAATTACAGCGCTAGAAAACACAACCAGGGAATCCCATAAGATGTGTGCTAGATTACCGAACCTCAGAACAAACTGTTGCCTAGCAAGCACCAAGCAGTGATTCGCCAGGCAAGTTGTTGACGTTGCAAAAGAAGGACAGATTTTTTGACAGAGTGGTTCGCGTGGCTGTCTGCTGTGATCTTTCAACTCCAGGTCACTGTTCCAAAAGCTGCGGGGGTGGAACCCTCCGGCAGCGACTTGGCACGGCACAGGGTGTCGGCAAATACAAATGCCAAGGGATAGGCGTCGACACGTTTCCGCGACAACAAATCCAAAAGGACCGTTCTCCTCCAAGGACACGGCTCGTCCTGTCGCATCCTATGTTCGGAGGGCAACAATGCTCGATGCACCAGCTGCAACTCATGGAATTATTGCTCGTGGTTTTGGGTGCAGACAACACATGATCAACGTATGACCAGTCCACGCTGCTGAACCGCTGTGCCATCTTGATACTGAGGAGAGTCTTGGAGCAGCACGTGCTGTGCAACAAGTACCCCTGCAAAGGATGGGTGGCTTATGGTGGCTTTTACTTGCAACACGTAGAGCAAGTTCCGGGGAAACGGGCTGATTGCCCAAGACTTGACTTGCCGAGTGTAGCTTGAAGAAGAAGAAGACTATGGGCCAGGACTTGATTGCGAGGTATCTGGGTGGATGGACCAGGGGCATTGCTGCTCGGTCTTGTGGAGCGGCAGATTGCCAGCGCATGCTTGTATTGGCATCATGCCTAATCTACAAGACCAACAAGACCATGACAGTCAGCAGATTATTCTCCGTATGGCATGTTTACATCTGGCTTCTCCAGCAAGGCTCTCGCAGTTGCGGTGGCGGACTGCAGCGCCAGTTCCGTAAGGTCGAAGATCTCATCGGGACGATCTATCGAAATCGGTCATGTGTAGGGGTACCGTATGTTGAGCACCAGTCTCAGATGCAGTCAACAGGCAGTATATCACATTTGCTGTCCAGGTTGTCAAGGAGGCAACGCTCGGAGGCAGGACATGCGGGGAGATGAATATGCTGCTTGGGTTGAATGACACTGAGTGAATGCGCCACATCTCACGCTGACTTGTGGGATGCCCTCATCTGTATTTTCCCCTGCGCTGGGTGTTTGCTGTGCCTCCCCACCCCCCGCAAGATAGCCCAATATTGTGACCCACAGCCTGTCACCAAAGCTTCAGGGCTGGGATGCTCGAGGTAAGTATCTGGACCGTTTCAAGATGAACCTCTGTGCGCTTGCTTTGCTGGCCCTTGAGGTCTCGCACGGTGATGTGCAACCCCGTTCCTTGCAAGGCGGCTGCGGGTGCTTCTATCCTCGGCACATGATCGACCAAAAAGTGCAGTGGGCTGTTTGTGTAGCATATAATCAGCGGAGACGATCCTTAACCAGCACCACCAAAACTTGCAGTAGCGATTGGTGGGCGCACGTGTGGGAGACATATCGCGCCCACAGCATCGCACAGCGCCTCTGCATGTCTCCACGTGTCTCCACGTTTTGCAGGCCGAGGGTTTCGATCCGATTGCTGCTGGTCGCGAAACAGGCTGGACAAGTTGAGATGTGGAATGGAGGGTGTGAATGTGCACAGGCGCAAGCACACATGCTCAGTAATTCTGACAACATGCCGACCGCCACGTCAAATGGAGGGCTTGTGGCTTGTGGGGACACGTCCGTAGTTGCGAGGCTTTGACTTCGACATTCGGGACTTCTGTGACCCTTCAGAGAGATGCTTTGGCACAGGCGAAAAGAAGGAGTCGTGGTGTTGGAAGTGCATTCCACACAGGTCTGCAAAACAATGCGACGTTGTGTCGCAGAAGCTTCTGACAGCATTTGGAGAACCATCAATTGGCATGGCTAGAATTAGAACAAAATGGGACATACGAAGGTATGAAAGAGGCTGTCGCTGGTGCACAAGATTCACACAGCCATGCGTCACCCAATCTTTGTCAAGGTGCTCAAGTATTCCATTGAACCTGACATTTGTAAATTGCCGCTTCTGTCTCGTCGGCAGGGACTCCTAGTTAGACAGCTCCAGCTGTTCCACGCATGGCTGCAAGCATGCACTAGTTGACGTGTCTCAGCAGTATTCCCGCAATGATGCTGCCGAAGCTTGCGGGTGCTTCTCCATCGTGCCACGGCCTAGCATTCGTCAAGCCTAGCACTAGTCATGATGGGTTGGTCCTTGTGAGTTTGTTTTGCCTGGGCCAAGTCAAGGCAATTGGCCGAGTTGGGGCATGCTTGCCCTCCCGCGGCTGTTGCTTCTTCTGAGATGCCAAGGTGTGCATCCACGGCACATGGTGCACCTCGTGCTTGTGAGCCTGGGACAGGGCGACGCACGCCACTGCAGCAAGCTTTGGATTGGTCCATTCCCGTCTCCAAGCTTAATTATTTTGCGTTGGGTTACATGCTTGTAAGCGTACGAGGCAACACCAGCACCCTCATCTCACAGTTTGGTGCTGCGTGTCTTTCCAATTACAGACCACAGCGCAGAAACCGGTTCCCTGCATGCTCGGCGCTTATTTTCCAGTACGCCTCACCCGTGAAGTTGAGAGTGGGATCCCGGGGGCTGTCCTTTCCTCCAGCGGATCAAAATTCCGAAAGCCGAAGGTACTGGCTTGCCACATGTTACCATCGTGGTTCATCCCGTGCCCAGGCTTGCGTGGTCATCGGGTTTGGCTGCAGCCGACCTTTTGCCAAGCATCGGGGTGCGAATCGCAGCAGCCATGGCATGAGCGCAGCAGCTCGGAGGCATATTCGTTAGCATTCGCTTCATAGGAGCCTGCGGTGGCCTGCAAAGCAGGGAAGACAGAAGCAGAAAGAAGCAGGAAGATCGAACATGAGGGGTCAGAAAAGTCATGGTACGATTCATTTTCCATGAGGGTACCTTCGAGTCAGTTTCTTAACTTCCTAATCCAAGGGTTAGGGCTTCCCCTGCCGCCCCTCCCCACTCCCAGTCCCAAATTGCAGAGGTTGAGAGGGGCTGCCGTTAAAATTCAATGATCGTTATTCTTCTTATTAGTTTTTTTTCTGTGTGTGTGTGTTCCTTTAAACTGTTGTGAATTCAAGAAATGGAGGACGGGACTTCTTATTCAAGAGTCCCGCCCTCAGTCGCTCGGTGTACCAAACTTAGGTGCTCGGGCAGCGTGTACTTTCGAATCCTTACCTTAGTATTGCTCTCACTTGGCACAGAAGCGCTGGCCGATGGTGCTCGTTTCTTAGCCTAACAATTTCTGAAGCAGTGCTGTGACGTCACTGAAGACCTGAGTGGAGTTGAAGGTGCGTGTCGACGATCATATAAACGAGCCGTGCTGGCATGCCGATCGCGATCGCGTCGATGACAGCCTTGTGCTGCGCTGAACCACTTTCTCAAACCCGACCGTATTCCGGCAGACACTCTGGGTGTTGAGTGTCTGATGATGCAAAGGTTTGGTTTACCAAAGACCCTCCGGCGGCGGCAGATCCAATTGAGGGCCCTTTCGATGCAGCCACGCATCTTTTCTGCAGTCCGGCTAGAAGCACTTTTCTGGTCTCTAGCCTTGATGGTTGCTCCCATGAAGAGCCTCTTGCCTAAGCGGCAGCTTCTTGTACTTCTGTGCCGGACACGGCAACCTGACAAAGGCAGGTTGGAGTCATCGGTGCCGTGGGCTTCTTTGACCCGCTTGGCATAGCTCGAGAGGGCCTCTGGTTCCCGGTGCGGCAGGCTCAGAAGCATGGCACCTTGTGGCAGAAGCTGCGCACTTCGCAGTCATTGCACGCGTACCTTGCCAGGCCGTGCCACGTCTGGGCTTCTCCGAAGATCGGGGTCAAGTTGGGCTCGGCTTTGGCTTGGACAGTGAGCGTCTCGGCATGGAATTGTGGCTTGGAGGGTGGGGTAGATGATGGGTGATTTTGAGCAATCACTTTCGGGCCTTTCGGGAGCTTCCGAGCTTCCGGGCAAGTTGACGAAAAGATATCCACCGACATCTTGGCTGCGGGGGCTTTTTTCCAGCCCAAGGTTCGAGCCCAGTGACCAGTCTCTCAGCGAGGATGAGAGGTGGTTCCGCAGACTGCGCGAAGCCGAACTGAAACACGGCCGGATAGCGACTTACCTAGCCAACAGTTGAACTTTAAAGTTTTTGGCATTCCTTGTTTGTAGAGACAATCAAGTTGGGCCAGTTTAGCCTGTTGAGAAGTAAGGCAATGCTGGCTGCGATAGGATTCCTGGTGGCTCACGAGATTCGTCTGCCTGGCTTCGAGGCGGCAGGCGAAGGCATTGTGGCGGGCTTAAGCAACGACACGTGGCAGCGAATCTCCCTCATCATCTTTATCTTCTGCGGCCAGTTTGAGCGGAATCAGTTTCGACAAGAAGCAGCACGTCAGATTGGTGATTTCGGTGATCCTCTCAAATTGGGCCAGTACACACCCGAGATGCGTCTCACTGAGCTTATAAATGGTCGCGTGGCCATGTTGTCTTGCGCAGCTATTGCTGCTATTGAGCACACCACCGGCAAGCCTGCAACAGAAGTGTGGTATCCGTTCGAGTGATTTTGCCTGGAGCGCGTGGGCAGATCAATCGCAATTCATGGATCCAGGGCAGTTCACCAACTAAGCTTCTTTGGCCACTGGCTCGTCGCTTTGGTGAGACACCAATGACTCCACGCTCGTCACCTGTGCCACGAACTGCACCAGCGAGTGAACAAAAGTCACACAGTCTTGATACAGTAGGATGCAGTAGGAACCCTTAGAAAACAAGAAACAATGATCCCTACATTGCCCTTATAAGAAAGAATATGTGTTCTTTTTTGCGGGCTCTTGAGCAATTAGTAGCATAGGCATCTCATCTTCCATCATTTCTGTTTCTAAGCACCCACTTGTGGTTGCCCGCAAGACCAAGGTCAAGGGCACCTGCGAAGCGTGAGGCTCTTCCTGGAGGTTCTGCAGATCCGGGCTCAAAAACCGGGAGTGTAGGGCGACACATTGCAGTTCCTCCATGCTGATTCTTCAGGGTTTTTCGGGTACTACTATTGCTCGGGGGTCATGCCGTCACAGCATGATTTGGTGTAACTTCCCACTCGGCCTCTTTCCAAGAGCGTCGCCTTCGCTAGCATGACTGCGTAGCAGGAGATGGGAAACATGTACCTCAACATGTCACCTGTATGAGCTTAACTGCTCGGAAGGTGCCTTCGACGCATCAGCAGCGCGAAGGTTCATGCCTCGGCACAGAAGCATGAACCACAGAAGGTGAGTGAAAAACACATTGCATGGTTGATGCGAGCAGCTCTGTCCTTAGGCCGCGGCGTGCTGAGGATTTCGAGGTGCCCCGACGTGTTGCAAGCGGTCCAGAAAAGTCCTTGCTTCATCATCCTTCTTGTGTCTTCTTGTTCTTCAGAGGAAGCACCGATTTTTTATTAGCAAAAACCCTGAGATTCCTTCGTTTCAACAAACAAGAATCATGAAGTTCGTGCATAAGATGCCTACTCTTACTCGCAGGCAACGAGATCCCTTTTCGTAATGAAGAATGGAAACTCTTTTTTGTCCAGGAGTTTTTATTTTGCAATGAAAAAATTGCGAGCCTCTTGTTGTCTCTCGCTTCTCTCCTCTCACTCAACAGACACAAGGACATTCCTATTCTTGATCGTGCATGAGAGCTAGTCTCGCGTATGTCTTAAGGAAATAGTTCGTAAACACTAAGACTTAGTTCGTGTATAGTCATTCACGAAACGAGGCTCCTACTAATTGCTTTAAGTCGACCGTGCCCATTTTGGAGACACGACTCTAGCAGGTCACCCAAGTTGATCAAGTCGTAGGGGCTCCGCTACTACTAGTATGAACGAAAAGGGGTTCTCTATGGTTCTCTCTCTCTCTCTCTCATTTCTGGCCGAATGTAAAAGAGGGCTAATCGTACTTCTGAGCCATCCTCGGGGCCTCTCGCCTCACCAGGCTGCGCTCAATCGGGCGGAGAGTGGAGGAGCGGATCTGCTCCAGGCCAGTGCTAGACAGAACCCCAGAACTTGGTTCGGACACCTCAGCTGGGTGAGTTGCAGCTTTGCAGTAGCTTGCACACTGACACTGAGGGTGGATCTCATGTTGACCTTCGCCCGAGCCAGTGCCGATTCGGTTCCTCAGCCCCCTTCCGTGAAGCTCTCGATTTTCCACTCGCTTGCTGTTTTGACCATGGCCGGATGGGGCGACGAGGTGTGGAAAGATGACGACAAGGCACATAAATGCACATGAGATCAGCGAGGATAAATTGAAGAAATTTGAAGATCTAAGCAAACTGCATGGCAGTGCGCAGAAGTGCGGTCCGGTTGGGTAGTGAACGTGGCTGGAAGAGCAGGGAGGGAGAGGCTGAGAGAGCGAGAGCGCGAGAGAGAGAGAGAGAGGGACTGCTGAGGGTGTTGAGGCATTTGGGTGCCCAAACCAGCTCAGAAGAATGATGTAACAAGAAGGCTCGAGCCCCTTGTTGATTTTGTTGTTGACGGAATATGATACCTCCACATCCTGATCCCGATGAATTGGCCGGATGTGCGCAATATTCGACTATATCCATGCCTCTTGAAAGAGAGAAATTCAAAACTCTTGGTGAGCCCGTTCTTCCAATGGGGCTACATCTCTACTACCCTCATCTACGTGCTGACATTGCGCGTCTCGCTCCGTTAGAGCGGGCCCAGCACGAGCTTCGGCAGCCAGATGCAGAAAACACCAGCAGCATGTCTTCGACAAGCACGGGGTCCTTCTCCAGCTTAACCGGTTTCCTGGGAAACGTGCTGTGAGGCCTTGGCAAGGACTCCTGCCCGGCTGAAGGATCGCCGGCTTATCTCTGGGACACACATGCATCACACAAAATTCGGGGTGAGAACACACATAATATAGGTAGTGCGCGGAAATTGCAACCGTCCTCAACCAAAGGAAAACTCCGACAAGGATCCAAATATGCTATACTGCACCTCTGGGCATTCAGGGGACGCAAGTAAAAGACAGAAAGAAGAAACGCACCCGAGAGACGGAGTGTCAATGCGTGTCTGAGACAAGTGATGCCAGCCATACAGTAATACAAACGACCTTGCCTTGGAAAAAAAAACAGTCCCATCCCGCGGGGGAAATGGCTTATGCCCTGCTAGGTGCGTGTGCTTCACGGCGAGAGCGTGATGCCATGGAAGACATTCGATGAGTGCTCCGGCTCGTGGAAGTTTCCCGCAGGCATCCTGACAGCAAAGTTGAGGGTGAGTCAAAATGTGTGAGGTTTCAGTCTAGACCGTCTGGACCTCCGGATGCAGTGGGTCCGACATGCTCATTGGGGGTTAGTTGAGGCCACATGCAAGAGCTGAGGCTTGATGCAGTTCCTTATCGATGCTGGCTTCAAGTGCCCGACGCCTATTCAGGCCGGACATTCCGCACCACCTCAGCCAAGTCATGCCAAGTCACAACAGCACAGTGCGCCAGCTTGTGAGGCCTACACTTGGCCAGTGCTCATGGAGGGCAAGGATGGCTGCAGGGGAAATGAAAAACTCTGAGACCTTGTGCTTCCTGTAATCTCCAGTGCACTTCCAGTGCCGTGGCCTCAAGATCCGACAGGATGTAATTGGTGTGGCAAAGACCGGCAGCGGCAAGACCCTCGGATACCTTTTGCCGGGATACATCAAGGCCCGGTCCTGCTAATTGAGTTAAGAACTATCGCTCAACTCCTTCCATTCCTAAGACCTTGAATCTACTTCGGATTTTGCGAGTTATTTGTGACAGGTGAAGCGAAATGAAGGCAAGGGCAACTGTGACTTGAGCAGCGGGCCCGGAATGCTGGTTATGGCACCAACGCGTGAACTTTGCCAACAGCTCCTCGTCCCGAAGAGATGCAGAGACTTGAGGCCCAAGGTCCACCCAAGCCTTTTTAGCCCAGTTTGGTAGTTATTGCGCCATCTTTCTTGCACTCTTGCAGCTCGTTTCTGTGAGTGACTACTGCTTGTGTTGTTGCTGAACAGACACCTTTTGAAGCCCGTGGTGCCGACAAGGATTTATGAGGAGTCTGAACGCTTCGGCAAGCCAGCACGCATCGACACCGCATGCGCACCTTGCCTAATATTGGCTTTGGCATCTTGCAGACTTCATGAAAGATACGCGTGACCCTTGGAAGCTCCTCTCCCCGAAGTGATTGCGGCGATATCTCGTTCTAGCCATCTGCAGGTCTATGGCGGAGCTCCGAAAGGACTCCTCACTCTTCGGTCGTTTGTTGACTTGCCTGACAATGGCAAAGAGTTAGGCAAAGCATTTCAATGTCTGTTCCACTGTGTATGTGTGCGCATATGTGCATGGGAGTGTTCATGTGTGCATGAGTGTGACAGTGTCTGAGTGAACCTGCACACTTCGCTGGTTTCCCAGTCTTCGTGGCATGTAACTATGTAACACACAGTTTTGTCACCAGCAGATGCCCTTGGAAGGACAGCAGGTCCGCCAGCTGCGGAACCGGCCTCACTGTGTGGTGGCCACACCCGGGCGCCTGAACGACTTCCTTGGAAGCCAGAGGGAGGGAAGGGGCGATTCGGGAAGGGTGATCTTGGCTCTGTTGAAGGTGCCCTTGAGCTGGTTGGCCACTTTGTTTTCATGACTGTTGCAAGTCTCTGATCGGCTTTGGGTCTGAGTGCTTTGGGAGCTGATCAAGCAACGATGAACCTTGCTTTGGCATCGGTCCGAAGAGGTCTAAAGAAGAAATACGAGACGACCTGCCCAGGCCGCGAGCTCTCCATCAGTCAGTGCGATTACCTAGTCTTGGACGAGGTGGGCTCAACAAGACGTCGTGGGTCGGCCTACACTGGCCGACACGTGCAAACGTCGGCAAAGTACTGTAGGATACCCCGTGCTCGTCGCCGCCTGCAGTCATGCGCACACGGTCGCATGCGAGCTGCCATGCAGGCTGATCGAATGTTGGATATGGGCTTTGAGCCCCAAATCAAGGAGCTCACACATTACTTGCCAGGGGATAGGCAAACCGCGCTTTACACTGCCACTTGGCCATCTGCTTCCAGGAATTCTATGTTTCGTAGTTCCCATCGGGGGATCATACATGATCTCAACGGACCCCAACAGCTAGTGAAGGAAGCACAAGCTAGGTTACTGGTGGTAGCATATATGCAGAGCTCACTCAGTGTTAATGTTTTGAATGCGTATCTTGCCGCACTTTATCATCTCTTGTTCTCTGTTTCAGGGTACAAGTCCCCGCCCCTCCTGTGTTTTAACAACTGCTTGTTTTTTTTTTTTTTTGGGGGGGGGGGGGGGGGAGGGGGGGGGGGGGGGGGGGGGAGGGGGGGGGGAGGGGGGGGGGGGGGGGGGTGGGGGAGCTGGGCCTTGGGACACCGCACTCAAAACAACCAAAGTGGGACTGCCGAATCCTCACAATCCGGGCAGCCAATTCGTCGCGACCCGTGCCTTCCTAAATTCCTTGATTATGAAACTTTCCGTGCAGTGTATGTCGCTCGGGTGCCACTTTGTGCACGATAGGCGGTCAAGAAATCACTGCTTCCGGGAACCAGGTCAAGAAATCACTGCTCTTTCGTTGTTCCTCTGCTTTGATGTCTGATGTCAAGAATTGCTTATTGGCTTGTTGGCGGATTCTGCATATTGGCGGACTGTCTTCAACCAGAATGACACCAGCAGCACGTGTAGCCACCCCTGAATTGTTGGGGGGAGGGGACTTCTAGCTGGAAACTCTTCTTCTCTTAGCCCCTCATCTCGTGCACACGGCTTTAGCTCAAATCTATCCCGTCTCCTTGTTCTTCAAGGCTTGAGGCCCTTCGTTCCGTAAGTTCCGGCAAAAAAGGTGCGAGCGCATTGAGTCACTGCATTCGGGTTAATGGATTGGATTGTCCGCCGTTGGGTAATTTCACTTATACTTCCCCGCTTTCACCTGGACGCAATTAAGTCTCACGCTCACTCTCCCTCACTCTCTTCCGCTCCCTCCAGCTCCCTGTCTTTATGTCTCACTCGCCTGCTCTCTGACTTGCGTGGGAGGCTCATGTAGGTGCTGCAAGCCGAGGCCACGTGGCCTCGTGAAGTCAAGGAGATCGCCGCCCGCTTGACAAAAGACCCGACTCACATCCAAGTGGGCCGCTTGACAGGATAATGTCGCTATCCTGTGTCCAGTGCCATATGGGACAGCTAAGAATGCAGGAGGGTAAGTATGGTCGAGTCTCGCTGCGAAGCACTGGGTTCGGAAGGTTCGGAGGATTCAGCCTCTGCAAACGCGGACATCACGCAGCACATTGTGAGGGTCTACAATGAGAAAGACAAAATGCACCTTGGCATTGGCATGCGTCAGATAGTGTGTGTGTGTGCGTGTATCAAGAGAAGTTCTCAATTTCAACATCAAGATTCAATTGCTACTCCCATCAGTTTAATGCACTGGTTGATGAGGCGCTTCCTTGAAGGAACCATCTTCCCAGAGTTGCAGCGAACAGGTGCGGCGAGTTAGGGCACATGCTCTGAGTCGGCAACACGAAGTGAGAAGCTGAAGACGTGTTCCTGCAATGTTAGTGCGGAAACCTTAGCAAATCATGGAAGCATGCTTCGCTCACGCGAGTGAATGCCAGTACTTGCAACAAGCCAACACAGCTCTGACATCGGGACAACAGATGTGAAGCGCATCAGAGCTGCCGGCCAGAGTCGATAGGGGGGGCCTGCTATGTTTTTGGGGACATCAAAGGGATGCCACGCAGCTGCCCTTTGTGGCAACCATAGACATGGCATACGAAAGGTCGCGGCTCGTATGTGTGGAACTGTCGTTCAATTTGCTGACAGGCGGATCGGGCTTAATCTTCGTCAAAACCAAGAAGGCCGCTTCCGGATTATATCGCTCCTGGAAAGCACTCAGTGCAAGAGCGTTGACCGAAAAAGTTCTGAGGGCCCTTTCCCAGCTCATGGTGTGGAAGAGTGTTGTAAATTTTGTTTTATACCTTCAGCTGCAACCCGGGCCAAGATGAACTTTCACGCGTGGGCGCGCCCATCGTGTGCCTCCATGGTGACATGGACCCGTTGCCTGCAAAGTGTAAAATATTCAAGGAGGCATCGGCAGGTTGTGTGTTTTTTTGACAGTAGCTACATCGTTCTTTCTAGCTCCGCGAGGACCAGTCTGCTCGCGATCACGCTCTGCATGCCTTCAAGACCGGCATGGCCAAGGTGCTCGGCCACACATGCGATACAGTGAAATGCATGTTCCAATTGTTCCCACTGAGATTTACGCCCAGGCCCCAGATGCGACCTCTAAAAACACGAATCAAACAAAACAGAATACATATGCACTTCCATGTTGACCCCACCGGACGACCGCCCCATACAAGCATACGATACGTTTTCCTTACATGAAGCTTGCGGAGACTAAGGTAGCATAGAGGTCATCATTTGCATAGGTATATACATATATGTATATCTGAATACGTTATCCTATGATGTTCTCATCGCATGAGTTGCTCAACTAATATTTGCGGGTTACGTTTCATTGGCCGGCTTGGTTTTTAAGTGTAATGGGTTGTACTGTTTAATTTTAGCATACTGCTTATTGATATTCTGTTATGAAAAAATGTGATTGGGGGCCCGTTTGCGGTTTTCTTTTGGCACCAGGCGCTCAGACGCTCAGTCACTCAGAGTCTCCAAGTAGACCCAGTCAGACTCTCACCTTCCCAGACCCAGTCTCTCAGTCACTTAGCCTCTCAGACTCTGACGCTGGGAGAACAGAGTGACTTGCGTCACTCAGACCCTCGTGAATTTCCGAGCGTCTGTGAGTCTGAATGTCTGAGGGTTTTGAGCGTCTGAGTGTCTGAGCGTCTGAGTGACTGAGTGTCCGAGCACCTGAGTGTCTGAGGGTCTGAGCATCTGCATGTCTGAGTGTCTGAGCGGGGCACGTGGTCGCTGGAACGTTCTAGTTCTGCGCTCAGACCCTCAGACACTCAGCTGCTCAGACACTCAGACACTCAGACACTCAGACGCTCAGACGCTCAAAACCCCCAGACATTCAGACTCACAGACACTCAGAAATTCACGAGGGTCTGAGTGACGCAAGTCACTGAGTGACTGGGTCTGTTCTCCCAACGTCAGAGTCTGAGAGGCTAAGTGACTGAGAGACTGGGTCTGGCCTGGGAAGGTGAGAGTCTGAGTGACCGAGCGACTGGGTCTGCTTGCAGACTCTGAGTGACTGAGCGACTCGGTCTGGTTTGAGTGGCTGAGTGATTGAGCGACTGGTTTCAAATGGGCGCTGTTCTGCACGCTCTCTCAATATAGATACCTCGAGCAGAAAACGTATGCTCTCGCAAAGGCTCATGCAACGATTCACCATGACGCAGGAGAGCAGAATACTTCCACAAGATGGACGCCTGTGAACCCCTCTTTTTTTGCATGCGGGATTTGTGAAGAAGCAGATCTAGAAACCCTAGACCCTTGACGAGATTCAACGCACATCGACCCATCTCGTGGTGTTCACAGGGCAGCTCTAGCAGAAGCATGCACATGTCTATCATCCCCGTGGCACACTTCATCATCGTTTAGAAGGCTCTACACCCCCTTGCCCCTGAAACCTCCTTCAGCCTCCAACCCCGACTGCCCCTCTCTGATCCGAATCCTTGACAGGTTCTTGTCGCCACCGACGTGGCCCAGCGAGGTGTCTTACTATACCATTGTTGTATTGTACATTTCTCATTAGTGTGGTATGATGTTGGTACGTGATTTTATAATTAAGGTTTGCTATGAATGATCTTGCTGTCTGATTATTAGAAGTGGCCGTGGCGATCTTACGAATGCCTTTTCAGGCTGTCAGGGGGGGGGGGGTCATTCCCTCATGTTTTGGCGGGGGGCGAAGGTTTTGAGGAAGGCGATTCAGAGCGGGCCATGAATCATGTGGACGATGGGCATATAGTATATAGAACTAATACACCCCACCGCTCGCATGACTGCGGCAAAGATAGATGTGGCTGCGTGCGTTGTAATTGTGGATTCCTCTCACTCATCGACTAGGCGTTCACGATTTTGCCACTGCACGCCCAGGTCTTGACATCAAGAACGTGCAGTTTGTCGTAAACTACGACGCGCCTTCGAACCTGGAGGCATGAAGTTGCAGTGGAAGCCACGAACTATCAGAAACGCATCCTTGCTTAGCCGAAGCTTGCACAGCAGAGAGTGTCAGAGCAGCTCAGTCATTGGACGGTTCTGTTGCAGGATGTCCTCTCTGTATCGAGCTTGACCAAGTAAATCCACTGCCTGTGACATGCGCACAGGACTACGTCCATCGAATCGGGAGAACCGGCCGAGCAGGAGAGAAGGGAGATGCCTACACTTGCCACTTCGTCCCAAGGTATGCTGCAGGAACGTGGGCCAGGACACAAATTCCGAGAGCCCGAAGTCGACCTTCAAAGTTGTACTTGTGCTCTGTGACCCTTGCTTGCTTGTCTGCACGCCCCCCGCCCCCTTTTTGTCTGTCTGTGTGTGTGCGCGTCTGTGAACCACTGCTGCTCTGCACATGTGACTCAAGCAGCACGCACAGGTCAAGGGTTCCTTTGGCCTACATAGCCAACGAGCACAGAACCATTCGAAAGTGATATGATCCTGGGACGCTTCGATTTTGAATACCAGTGTTGTGCTGGCATACCGTGCAGCACCCAGGCCGCACATGCAAATGTGCGGATACACTACACCACCGGCATTGTGAACAATTGAACATGTTGTTGGATGCAGCAGGTGCTGCATTGTTGCAGTCCCTTTCATGCGTGGCAGCCCGTTACAAGTTCGCTGACCCATCCACCCAACGCACCGAGTGTATGTTTGCTTGGGTGTGCTTGTGCTCGCGTGCATGTCCGTGCGCGGGCATGTCGGGTGTGCGTGCTTGCCCGTTTGTCTGTCTCTGCCCTGAGCTTATGAAAGCTCGAGGCTCAAGACCCAAGGCCTTTATGACTCGGACAGCAGCATTGCAAACCAGATCAAGAAGGTTTTCCAGAAGCTGGGCAGCAGCACAGCTCGGAAGCCACTTCTGAAGCGTTGCCTGATGCCAAGGAAGACAGGTCAGCAAATCCCGAGCGAACTCGCACAAATTGCTTCTGGGGGTGGTGGAATCGCCCAGCAATGGGGCCGTGGAGGCGGCGGTGGTGGCGGCGGGCCTGTTCTGAACGGCGAGTGGGGCGGCAAGTACGCGCAGAGCGCAGGAGGCACTTGACTGTCACTGCTATCACGGAGTAGTGGTGCACGAAGCACTGTCTTGGCGCAGGCTACGGAAACCAAGGAGGATGGTGAGAGGGGCATGTTTGATGTGTGTCCCCTGCCCTAATTACAATAAGTCACCTAGTCAGCCAATACAGCAAACTGCAGTGCATCACTGGTCACACCAGCAACCTGCTACCCCGAAGAAAGGTGTAAGTAGGACGGCTCGGTCCAGCGAGAACTTTGTGGGAACAGCGAGCACGGGGCATCACAGCATGTTGCAACAAGGACTTTGCTGCAATCAACCAAAGGCTACGTCTCTAGGTCCTCCGCATTCCTTCGCCAAGCATCAGAAATCGATCAGGAACAGAAAGCTGTAGAGTTCAGTGGACTGTTTCGGCCAGTGTCTATGATCGGCGCACCTCAACATGTAGCCACACATGCCTGCCGTGTGCAAGCGAGTGAGGGGACGCACGCCCATTTTGGGCATAGCCTAGGGTTGCAAGAGAAAAGTGACTCACACGGAGTCTTTTCATGCGCCGCCCTGAAGCGTCTCAGAAGTCATCATGTAAGTACTCTTGAAATGTTACTGGCTTGTGATGTTCTGCTTATTGTCAATAGCTGCAGTGTGATTAGTCAATAAACTGAAGCAGTTACCTGAATCTGGGTCTCACCAATGCCCACGATCAGAGGCGCATCTGGGGAACAAATGCTGCAGGGTTTCGATGCAGTTTGGTGTTGCTGGTCGACTGTTATAGCACAGAACGCCACTGGATGGAGGAGGGTGGGAGGGGTTTAAGCCTTGTTTGTGAGTGCTGCGTAGGTGTATTGCAAGGATGTACTTCATTCCGTTACCAGGGTCTCGTTTCTGATTTGAGGAGGTTCGCCCTTCCACAAGTACGCAACCACACCTTTACCTGGGATACTCCACAGGGCAGCTGGCCGAACTGTACAGCCAGAGAGCCCATTAAGAACACCTGTGAGAGATGGATGAATGAACATGAAAGAGTGTTTGCACAAGCAAGTTGACTTCCAGATCTGGACCGACTATGTCCTATGGGCTCAGCGCTGGCCGTCTGCTGAGAAGGTGCCTCCACCCAATCCTCAGCACTTGATTTTCGCCACGCTGATTGGTTGTGAGCTCATCACATTTCCAGACGGGGCTCTAGAGAAAAAAATGACTGATGGCAGTTGGCTCCGTCTAGAGAATCGCGGCACTTTTTTTGGCATTATTTCATGGCTTTCAACTGAAGTGTTCGCTGCGCTGTTTGGGAGTTAGTTTGGAACAGAAAGGTGGTGCTCCTGCGACGCGCTGTGCACAGTCTGCATCCCGGTACTGAGTTGAACTGCCGGCCCAGCATGTGGCCATGCCATGCAGATCATCGAGTAAGCATAAGTCCAGCATGGTCGGATCTTCCGGCATCAAGTTGGCAGATAAGAAAATATCCCTCGCCTTGCGATTCGCTTGTGGTGCAGGCTCAAGCGCATTAGGGAATCCTATGATATCCCATGCATTTCTCAGCATCAGACAAAAAGTCATGGGAGTGCAGGATGAAACCGGTATTTGCGCAGCCTTATGAATAAGAGAAGCTTAGCAGAAGAGTTTTTGCATCATGCGAGCCGTTCTCGCAGATTTGTGAAGCTTCGGATTGCTTGAGCCGTCCCCGTGTGCGCCATATAGCTTTTTGCCATTGCCCACATGAGAAATGGGATCAAGCTGTTCACGCGCGCCTATGGCTCCCATGAGTCCCTCTCCAGCGATCCGGAACTTCGACTGCGTTTCGCGCATGTGTTTGGACAGACGCAGTAGAATGATTGCGGAGCTTCAACCGTTCTTGTCTTACGGTGGGTTGCAGAGTTTCTGGCAGAAAAGCACGTGTGCTTGCGTTTTTGGTCGGGCTGCAGTCAATCAGCAGATGCACAAGTGGCGCCCTGCTCCCCCTCAAAACCCCTCAAGAAAAATGCAGTGACTGGAGAGCTCACCACGCAAAAGGAAGCATGTTTATTCCGAAAGTATGGCACAAGATTGCTACTGCTGTTGTTCTTGAACATCAACTTCGACCGAGCCACCTGACTCTGAAGCACCGTCGTTCTTGCATACTCTACTAGTCAGCTCTGGGCTCTTCGCTGACGATGGCCGTCGTTAATTGCGGGTGCTAAAGAGGTTTCAACCCAGCTCCATGATCACAGTATGATCATGAAAATTAGAAGCTCCTTGCAGCTGAGGATCTGGAGAATGCCATGAAGGACCCAGAGTCCGCCATATTCGATAGCACCGCTTCGCGAGATCCGGCGAAGCTAGGGTTTCGTGGAGACTTCATCATGTGCACCTTGTCCTGAATGTCAGTCCTTCGCTTACAACGGCTGCTTTCGGCTGTTTATAGTATTGTATACGTAGATTGCATCATCCCGGCAATTCAGGTATGACAATTATTCTATTCTTCTCTGGGCTTGTCGTGGGGCTTTGGTCTGAGATGGGATGTGGCTCCGTTTGCCTACATTTCCTGCAGAGACATTCCGCCGTTGCCTTTTTTTGCGCTGGGGGGTCGGTCTTGATTCTAGTGCTATTGTACTTGCTGGACTTCTTTAATGCGCCGCACATTCCCGGCGAGTACTTGGTTCTGTATCCTGGAGATTGGTGGATGGGACGTGGACTGCTCACCATTGCGGTGGCCAAAATTTTGGTTGGCATCCTTTTCCTTGCAGATCGGTTTCCCACTGCCCCGCTTGTGTTGACCATCTTCTTATGCCCAACAGCATTAATTATTGTGCGCCAGCTTACCAAACCGAAGCCTCGCTTTCAGCTGGGTGCTGGTTCAGCGGAGCACAACCTGAAGGATCGATTGCGAATGCTAAAGATGGTCACTGGTGAGGAGAGGGAGCAGCGGATCTTCTACAAAGCCGCGGCGATTGCATTTGCAGTAACTGCTGTGCTCTGCATTGGTGCGTGGATCCCTTGGGCAGCCACAACTTCTGTGCACTTTGACGTCAGCACCGACGCCGTAGAGCGCGAGATGAACTTTGTGCGCTGGGCCACGCCATTGATTGCCGGCATCTGCAACCTCATCTTTGCAAGCTTCGCCGCGCTGCGCGTTGCCCTGGATAAGACCTATGCAGGGACAGACCACAATCGTGCCCAGATCATCCTGAGCTCACGTAGTCACATGAACCGTGAGCTGATGGACTTCCGGATTGCTCAGCTGCGGGTCCAGCTTGCAAAGGAGGATGCTGGTACGCAGTTGCAGCGGACTCGCGATCGAGCACAGCAGCACCCATGCCCTACCGTATGAGGATGTTTGAGAGCTCTTCTATGTTTTGGTTTGCTTTTGAAGTCTTGTTTGCTGTGATTTGTTATGTCTGTTGCTGCAGGTACTTAATTCAGCACACCGCTCACATGAGGCGGCACCCATGTTTGACCAATGCCTGACATGCTGCGCTGATGCCGTGACACAAGATTCCCCAACATGCGTTTCCGGCTGCACTTCCTCAGTCGTTTCAGCAACTTGGTTGCGAGACAGCCTGTTGCCCCGGCAGGCAGCTCTCCAACATCGTCCAGACAGTTGGCTGTGGCTTTATTGCCCTGCTCGGGGCCCTTTTCGTTGCCTTTCAGCTCTGGGCAGCGGACAGCCACATCGCTGACATGGCGGGCAGCTGATAAGCTTCGACGCCACTAGGGCGCTAGGTGTTTCAGGATCCTACAAGAAAAGGCTGTTCGCGTTTGCTGTGCTCTGTTGCTTGTAATTTAGCCCCGTGCAGGTGCAGTGCTTCCTGGCTTTTTTCTTCCTGACTTTCCTGGCCTTCATCTGTGTGTCATTCAATCGGATCTGGCAAGCCATGAGCACATGGCTGCAGGCACATAGATCCAAAAGGGTTCTTGCATGGTTACTTGCTTTTGTTTGAGTTCTACTCTCTTGCTAGAGACCTTCAGTGTATGTATGTGTGGGTCCTCCACCAGGACCTGCCCATGTGGAAGTCTTTGCTGGGCATTTGCGAGTCCAGCTGGGCTCGTGCTGGATTCCTGGTCTTGACGCTGCCACTCATGCCGCTTGTGCTTCGGCGGGATTACTGTTCAACTTTAACATGCAGACTTTGATCGCCCTTATGACCTTTCACAGCAGCCATGTATTGAAAGGGGGGGTCTATGGTGCGTTCAAGGCTGCACCCTACCACTCCTGCATGAGTATTTAGACCTTGGGCATTCAGGCAGAGGAGGTAGCAAAGACTACGGCCGTTTTTTCCTGAAGCGTCAAGAAGCATCAGCAGGCCCACAGCTGCTAGTTAGATCAGTTAGATCCAACTAGTAGCTGCTCCCCTGGGATCTTTTGAAGCTGGGGTCGGAAGTGAGGTGCTGGCCATGTCAGCTGCGAACCAAGCCGTGCGAGTTGCACGGGGCCTCCATCCTGGTGGCCGGTGCTTGACAGAGCGCACTCAGGCTTCATGAATCTTCATGACCCATGCGGCCCGTGGCCCATAGGAGCTCTTCGATAGAGCGAGAGCAGCCTTTGCATTAGAAGGGTGGGCCCTAAAGATGAGCGTCAATGCAGAAACGTTAAAACACTAGTCACTGGACGGCCCATGTCTCAGAGTTGTACCCATATATAGCTCAGACAGTCGCAGGCCATCTTCGTGCAACTGACGCAGTGGGAGTGGGTCCCCATTGCCTCCTGGGCCTACGTCATGGCTGTGATTCTGATATTGCTCCTCCTCATTTCGTCAGTCTTTCTTGTTCATATAGTGCTTTTGAAATTCGGCATGCCATACCGTATATCATGCCGTACTGTTGGGTCTTTTTCTCCTCCGATGTGTAGATCCTATAGAGGAGAATTGCACACATTGCTGCTCTTGCAGGTACAAGATCATTCCCATATTTCTGAACGTGCTGTTGGCATGGCTAAAGTCCTTTGTCACCAACCTCCCATTCCTGGGCATCCTGGGATTCACCTTTGGAGCTGGCATGTTCCTCTTCATGCTGCCGCCGGCAACCAGCTGACAGTTTAGAATGTTTACAAGGCTTAGAATCGAATTGAGGCGCTTAGAGGACTTAAGATAAGGCAAGCGTAGGCAAGTAGGAATGTTCAAGCATGCGGGAGTTCCTTTAAGCTCTCCAGGTCCCAGGTCCGCCAATCTACCTTTTTGGTGGCCTCGTCATCTCTGGCCGATGCCCGTACGGCTTTTGGTGGGGTTGTGACCCTTGGGTTGCAATGAGCATGCTGGGCGATGCTCGTGTGTGGGTTTTATGCTGTTCGGTCTCGTGAGCAGGTATCATGGCATATTTGAGAACACCAAGCTGGCAGGTCATCTGCATTTTCCTTTGCGTCGTGCTGAAGCTTTCGGCGTGCGCCATCCAACAGAAGATCATTGGACAGATGCTTGGAAGTCGCCAGTCCATTCGCCACATGGTTGGTGCCGGGCTTTGACTTGATTGCGCAAGGTGTGTGAATGTGTGTGTGTGTGTGTGTGCGCGTGCGTGCGCGACCTGCGTGTGCAACCTTTGTTCCATCTGCCGAAGCTCTCATGGCAAGCCCTTGCTTGAGGCATTCACCGGCCCTTCATGCGAGCAATCGAATCTGTTCTCCGAAGACCCGGCCTGAACTTCGGAAAGTGCATGATCCTGTGCAGCTTGGTTGCACTACTGGTTTCATCTGGTTTCTGGCTGGGGTGACCAAATCGCTCGCGGCTAGCAAAGTCTGTTCCATTTTCACACATGTTTGCAATCCTTGCTCGCGTGGCCAATCATGCAGATGTCGGATAGACTCACTATGCAATTTTAGGTGGAGGTCCAGATTGGCCAACGTCAGTGCTTCTTGCCTGAAGTTGAGTCAAGCACGCCAACAGCAGCACACCGTCAACATGCCTGTGCCCATGATGCTCGTGTGTTGCACGCAGGCTTGCAGGAATAATGCGTGTCTCGCTGATCCAGTGCACCATTGGCACTTTGCCGGTGTCTGGACACAAGTTGGAGGAGTTTTGTGTTTTGAGACATGAGAGTGCGTTCCTATCAGGGCATAGAGGCACAACATCGCTGCAACCAAGCATCTTGAGGTGATCTTCTCCACGATTCCGCTGGCCCTGACCGGCAGCTTCTATTTGAAGCGGGACGAAAGTGAAGTTTGGGCGAGAGCTGGCAACTTGATGTTTTCCCTGACGGCCATGGTCTCCGTGACCTTTTGGGGAGGGATGGGCTGGGCGATTCAGGACGCTTTCGATAAGCTCAACGACCAGATCCACGCTCCCAAGGTTGAGTTTGTGGACCTGGACTGGTTGGATTATTGTGAGGACCGCATCAGGGAGAAGTGTCAGCTGAAGGCTCGGGACCTCCCGGTGTGGGTGCGTTGCTGCCACTTCGGTGGGGCGCTCCTCATTGTCTTTGTTGCGCAGATCTTCTTCTGGAGGGCGAGCGTGTGCTTTGGCACCTTCAGGGTGACCGACGACTTGGAAGACTTAAAGTGGTGGCCTTGGAGTGAGGGTGATGGGATGCCCATGGTCAACAAATATGGCTTGGGCGGCCTTCTCTTGGTGGTCCTTTCCTTCGTGATTCTGTGCTTCTCACGTGCCTGGCGGAAACGGCACAATGCTCAAGCAAGGGTACTAGTCATGAAGGAGCTTCACGGAGAGGAGGCGGCCTGGAAGCAGCGGAGGAAAGAGGAGGCAGAAAACTGGGCGCCGCCGAGAAGTGCCTCTGGCTCACCGGTGGTTAGGGGCGCCTTTGCTAAGGCATTGCCTGAAGATGACAGTGTGGTAAATGCAGTCGCCACAGCGGCTGAGGTGGCTGAGGTAGATCCGAAGCTTGGTTTGAAGGACATAATGGACTTGGCCATGGAGGCCGAGACCCAAGTTCCAGACGATGAGTTCTCATCATTGCCTCAGCGGCCTGCCATTTCTCCAGGAGCAACCATCATTGGTCGGCCTCCCATGGGGGCTGAGTATAGTCCGACTGAGTGCAGCCCACGCCGAACGTCAATCCGGCTTTAGCACCAATTGCGGAGCACCCTGCGCTGTGAAGACATGTCAGGATTCAGCCATATTCAGTCGAAATTTGCAGATTATGCAGAGTCTCACGTCTCACCTGCACCATGCGGATGTGTCCGCAGGGCAGTCCCTGGCTCGTAAGCGTCACAGGGGCTGCCCACGTTGCTCTGTCCAAGTCGCTTCTCAGATCATTGTTGACGCACTGCTACCGCTGCAGCATACTACTGTATTGCAATACTAATTACTGCTACTGCTAATGCTACTAGAACTACCATGTCTGCTATTGCTACTATCTGCTTCTGCTGCTGCTGCTGCTACTACTACTACTACTGCTGCTACTACGACTACTACTACGACAACTACTACTACAACTTCTACTACAACTACTACTACGACTACTACGACGATTGGTCCTACTACCGCTACTACCACTACTTATTTTCTAGCCTTTAAAGCGTTGTTTGTCACAGCGTGTTCAGCACGCGCATTGCATTGAAATGCTATGCTTGAGAGAGCCTTTTCCAAGGAGCGCCGGGTTTGCGTTTGTTCTGCATGCGTGATGTTTTGACGTTTCCCCTGCTTTTGCCAAGTGTGGAAATGCCGCTATTTGCAGTGTTTCTGCACTTGCATTGTTGCGTTCTCAAATGTCAACGTTTTTGACATCTCTTGTTTCAGATGCTTGTTCACTTACTCGGCTTACGGTTGCATGTCCTAAAAGGGCTTAGCATTTCCTATGAGGGCCAATAATTTATGTTGAACATCGGCTCTCGCTTGGTTTGGCTCGGGGGGGGGCCTTGGGGCTGGTCATGGTTGCCGGCCTGGGGCCTTCAACGCCGCGAAACCCGGCATTCTTCAGGAATGAGTCTCGTAAACAGAAACAGGTTTAGTTTTATTACCGGCGAAAAAGGGAAGGCGCCCGCGTGCGTACACCTACTACTACTACTACTACTACTACTACTACTACTGCTCCTCATCCTCCTCCTCCTGCTGCTGCTGCTGGAAGTGCCAGTGCAGGTCAGCATTGCTAGTACAGGTACCTGCACCTGTCTTTCATATAGTACTGCTTCAACTGGTACTAGTGTTTCCATGTATGTTGCGGATTGAGACCTCAGGGACAGGCATCATCGCTCGGAGCGGCTTTTGTTACAGCTATGGCCCCAAGCGGCAGTTCACAAGCCGTTCGTCAGCGCAGTTCGGCCCCAAGTTGGCAGCTTGGCGGCTGAGAATGCAAATTATGTTGAGAAGGCACAGATGTTGGGCAAACTTCGTTGCGAACATATTAGTACGAAGTGGTGTGCGTGCAATGGGCTTGCGCTCTTGGCATCTACTGCTGAAGTTTGCTCGGCTTCAGCCTGCCAGTTGCTGTAAGCCTGCAGGCATATTTTAACTCCCGCGACAAGCTAGCAGCTAGACTAGATAGGCTAGATCTGGCCCAGGCCAAGCATTTCATGTCGATTCTGGCTGCCAGTGAGCCCCAAAGGCTGCTTCAAAAGGCTTTGTCGGTCTTTTGCCAGGAGTAAACACGAATTGTACGTGCTTATTGGCGGTCACAGTCGGCGTGGCTTATGGTGGCACCGAACATCTAACACTCGGTCCGCATCTGGTCAGCGTGATTCAATGGCCTCACGGCCAGACTGTGAGAGCCAACAGTGGGCTTCTAACTTCTGCTTTGCGCAGCGTCATATGCACAGCTCCTGCGTCTGCATGCCAGTCTGCCCAAACCCCAGGCCTTTCGACGGAGAAGCTGTACAGCCAGGCGCCACAGAATCCCCCACAACTCACTTCCGATAACGGAGCTTGCTGCCTTCGTTCACCTAGCATTGGCAACAAGCATGCACTTGCGAGTCTTCTTTGGGGTTGGACCTTATACAGATGTAAAAAGTTCGGTGGCGAGCCTCAAGCCAGCATAAGCCAGCTCCCAGCAGGACATACGCCTTCTCCGCTTATGGGTTCTTTTCTCAGATTCCAGCCGTCGTAGCGCGCGAGCTCCATGACATTGGCTCTGAGAGTGCTTTGAGGTCATGTTGGCCGACAAAGAGTCTCGGCCCACCGACATCTTCAGGCAACTCGAGGCTCCTTTTTAAGTTTAGAGTTTATAAGGTTTAGGGCAGTTTAGGGTTTAGGGTAGGAGTCCTGGTTCTACACGGGTAGGAGTCTAGATAAACAAAAGCGGGTTCAAGACGAAAGCCCTGCAGGATCGTGGCATCGGGACACACCATGCCCTTCTCTATGAAGCTTGGGCGCACTGCTTGGAGACGCCGGGGCGCCCACAAGTTGATCGTTTCCCCTTCTGTCTCTAACGAGACCCCGGAGGCCAAGACGGAACGGGTAAGAGAAGCCAGAAGGGAGAGGCACCGGAACGGAAACAAAACGGGACGCCGAAACGGAGTCCGTTTTCTTCCACAGCTGGCTTAATGTGCAAGTTCTCAAGGAGGCAGTATTGTCGTTGCATCTGTGAAATTGTTATTATTATTCTTCTTCTTCTTATTGTTGTTGTTCTTATTGTGGTCTGTTATTTCTATGATTCTTGCTACCGATTTCTGCTACTGTTGCGGCAACGGAATACGTAATAGTCGTAGTATTAGTCACAGTACTAGTAATAGCAATAGATAAGGAGAAGAATAGTTTTGAGAAGTGGGGGTTTGATGGAACGCCAAGGCGCCGAGACTTTGACAGTGCTGCGGAGGTGCCACGGGCTTAGCATGGCTTAGCTAGCAGACTTGCCGAATTCTACTGTTTAGGGTGGGCTGCAAGGATAGCATGTGTACAGAAATGGTGATGTCTATTTTGGCCACTGCAGCCTGCCAACGGGAGGTCTGTGAACACTAGCGAGCTACTATTAGACTGTCCAGTGCAGGCAGCCTGCATCCGTGTGCTGCAACAAGCTGATATGAAAGCCATGCGAGCCACTGTGGTGTTTCTGTTGCCTCGCTGCAAATACGTGGAAGCATCATGAAGCGATGTATGTGACATTAATCTTAGGTCCTAATTTTTAGGTCTTATTGCGTGTCGGAGGTTGGCAAATGCCACTTCCGCTCGACCATACAAATGCATGCTTACTAGATGTACAGAAACAGGCACTAGCAGACAAGCATCCACGAGCAGTTGCAAAGTCTTCTTGTGGTGGCCATACCCAAACAGATGCAGGAAACCAGCATTCCAGCAACCCATGTCAAACACGTGATTTCTGCATCTATACTTGCGCAGTGCTCACAGATCTGCGACGGGCACGCGGACTGACTCATGTCCACCTTTCTGAGGTACCGTCGCGGACTGCGCTCTTTGGCGCAGCCACAGGCCCTGATGGGGAGAGCTTGTCACGAGAGTCGTTCCCAAGTACAGTACTGTGACCTGCCAGCACTCAGCATGCCAAATGTGGACAGAGTGCCCTTCCTCCATCCGTGCATGCGTCACTGCCAGGCATCCCAGCCGAGCCTTTGTGTCAACATGTTTTGTACAAATGCTGTAGTATGTTACAGCGTCTCAGGCCCAGACTGCCCATTCACTTCTTGTGCTGGCTTGTTCTGTCGGCCTAGCCTAGCACGTATTATGAACGTCTGGCAGCATGTTCTAGAGATTCTAGCGTGCAGGCACGTTTGCGTGCTCGGCGTGCAGACTTCGATGCGCGGGCCTGATCTGAGTTGGATCAGTTGTACTAGTGGCGGTTGTGTTGCAGGCACTTTCGCATCTTTCGCGCCTGGCGTTTCCTCGCAGAAATTTTTCCTAAACAGGCCTGATAAGCAACACGGCTCCGACTTCGGCCAAGGAGCGCATGCGACAGCGTGTCACACGCTTGGCTTCTCGACGATCAGAGCCAGGGAGGGCTCCCCAAAGCCCAAGGCCCCTGCACGCACTGGCCCTCATGAGTCCCTCAATATGTCATGTGCCCTTGTCAAGTTTGTCAACAGCGGGTTTGTGAAGATGTGGGAGTGCAAGCGCTTGCTACTTTCGCAGGATCTTTTCCGGTCGAGAACGTGTGGGTAGTCCCTCAACCATTACCCAAGGTTTTCAGAAATGCCCTGAAAGCCTGACCACAGGAGATTGACGCACTTGCGACTCCGCACGTCACTGCTCAAGACCTCCAGGCCATTCGAAGGATTTGTGCTAACCGCTCACCGCCCTTGAACGACAAGCGGAATCGCATTCTGCAAAGACACAACCATGATGGGACTGTGCCGCTTTGCCTTTCGGGGCCACTTGAGAGGTACATTGGTGACAGTAATCGGGAACGTGTGCAAGCTCGCTGATGATTTAATCGCCCAGCCCACGATTTTTTTACCAAGCCATAGTGGGTGGAATGTAAAGCCGGCGGACGCTGGCATTGCCGTTTCAATTTTTCAGTTGCGCAGAAACCCTGTGGCAGAGGCCTCACACGGAGTTGCGAGCTCGCCTGTCTCCTCAGAAGCGGCAGGCAGTGATGCTTGCGTAGGAAGTTGTAGGAACCGAAGAAGTCTCGGGTCTAGAGTCTAGAGGAAATAGGCGGAAACACTCATCTTGACCAGGAGCGGCGCAAATCAATCATGGAACGACGAAGGAGGTCTGTTCTCCTCCGGCCCAAGCCACGTCTTCCCAAGGAGCAATGCTAAAGATCTGTGTCTGTGTTTGAGTGGAGATTGATACTTGCCACCATCGGTTCAAACAACCCTTGATGACAGTAAAGATCCATAGTGTTGCCATGTTCAGTTGTCGCATTTGTCGGCCGGATGCCGCGGGTCACTTCTGCTTTTGGCCCAGGAGCCGGTGCACTTGGACGCAGCAACATTTCGAAGGACCCAGGCCACACCACCGGTGAACGAGGCTGGTCAACAGCATCGAAACTCGACATCCCCTGGCTTGTCTGCATGCAAACTTTCCAAGAGCCCTGCAGTGAGAAGAGTGGCACGTGGCAGGTTGATGTTCACTTGGTCAGACCCTCCTGCCGGCAGGCCATTCTTGGAGTTTGAAAAGCTCTGTCTTGCGGCCGAATGCAGTTGTACGTGTTTCCAACTAAACGGCTCCAAGCCTTGTGCGCACACGCCGAATGTTGGCCTGGCAAGCTGGCTGCCCGTTTGACAGTTACGCTCTTCAGCGCCGCTCCGCCTGGCCGTTCAGGAGGACTACGTGACTACGTCTGCAAGAGTAGCTGCGGAGATAGCTGTGTAACCTTGCATGAAGGAGCTTTCAGACAACTCTCATGGAGATGGCCATAGAAACCCATGGAAACCTGCCGTAAATGCGGTTCTCGATTCACTGAAGGGCCACGTTCCACTTGCAGTGTGCTGTAGAGTAGCTGAGTGTTTTTCCAAGTTGTGGTTCTCACATGCATCCAGTGGAGGACTTGGGCCATGCGAGCCGAGTGACTTGCCGCAAGGAGGCGCTCTCTGCTTGATCCACGCTCAAGATACGGGCATATACGGGGCATAGAGCAAGCTCACAGGGAGGTACACAGCGATCCGTAAACAAGGTAGGCGAGGGCAGGCCGCAGCTCTACATACTCGCATTTCGATGTAGGATCTCGCGTGCGGGGGTTTAGTTTTAAGTGCCCTTGTCCTTTTCTGGCTCAAGGGTTCCACAACCCTCACGGTTCCAGTCTACTGAGTCTACTGGTGGCGCACGCTGTGCAAGTCCAGGCCTCAGTACACCCGCAGGTCCCGGCAGCGACGTAATGTGGGAAAAGAAGTGCCTTATGGGACTCTGTGCACCGTCAGCAGAGATGATTGTTATTGTTCGTTTGCGCTCAAGTTTGATGCTCAGGCCCCCGTCGTTTCAACCTTCAAACCTGCATCATTTGTTGCTCGGTCCTTAGCTGTTGAGTGCAACGTACTGCAGTGTACTGACTGAGGGATACGAACGCGGCGAGGGAATTTGCAGCGGCGGCTCTTGCAGCTCCACCATGCTCTATTGCAGCTCTAGAACCCTTGAGGCTGCGGACTTCAACTCGAAGACCAAAGGACGGTTTGCGCAGCACTCGCAGTCCGCTGGGAGGGGCCATCGGATGGGGAGAGGACCATGCCGAAGCCTTCCGACCTGATGAAGTACAACTCGCTGCTAGGCTCTCTGCGCTTGAGAGCCACGGGTGGCGGGAGTTCACCGCAAGCTCTCAACCCCTCAAGCAATCCCATTCATGGAGGAGTCAAGGGCATCAATGTCCGCAACACCTTCATCGAGTTTGAGGCAAGCGGTCTTGGGCAATGTTGTCGCGGGCACGACTGCAGGGTAAGCGATAAGCATGCAAAGAGAATGGAAGACCACACTGAAGCAACTCGAGGGGGGTGAAGAGTATGGAAGAAAAATGCCAGTTTTCTTGGGCCCACTTCGAATTCCGCAAGTAACGTCACAAGTACGGACCTACAACACCAGGACGAGGACAGCCTCGGAGACCTGGACTGCGACCCCAGGGGCGGCTTTGGACGCCAGGTGCATTGCAAGTGCATTGCAAGTGCATTGCAAGTGCATTGCAAGTGCCTTGCAAGTGCTATCCAGTGTTCAGTACATGATTTTGCATGTCATGGCGGCCCTGCTAGCTGCTAGCTAGTAAGTATAGTAGCTGTTAATAATATAGCTGCTAAAACACGTCGGTAAGTACACGGGCCTAGTCTCAGGGCATGTTGACCCATCACGCTGGCATGCGCTGGCTAGGTTTGGGCTATGAAAGTGGTATAAGGCCGTTCTGCCTGCGCGAGCTGTATCTGTTCTGGTTGCGAGGCCTCCGAGCCTGCCAAGCCGAGCAGTTGGAACCGGCAAGTCTCGGCTACTCTTCCTGCATTAAGTGAAAAACTCCTAGCTGTTGTACTGCGGCTGGAAGGGACAGCACTCTTTGCTTCCGCTTCTTGAACTTTACCCCTGCAACATCCTGAAGATCTCATGCCACGCAGATGTCGTATGTTGCAGGCCTGCTGTGGGTTTCGGGCAATACGGGGGTTGCAAACCATGCAAAGAATTTGCTGTAACACACCTATTGCATCCCATCGTCGATGGTGCTGAGGAACAGACTACAGCGGTAACGGCGGAGGGCACTGAGGAGGGACGACACTGTCTGCGAATTTGCTAAGCCTAGACTGACTGAAGCTTGGCCCGGCGGCCGGCCTTGAAATGTCTTCCAATCCCTGAACCGAAGCAACTTCGGTGTTTGCGAGGAGGGCACTATCGATGTAGAGGACTCCCTGCACTTCTCTCCGACCGACTTCCAAGGCAATGTGTCGGGCAGAAGTGCAACATAAGCGGAAGCCCACTGGCCCGAGGCAATGTATCTGGCGAATTGCTTGCTGCCAAGATGGGGACAAGTCTGGGCCCCACGCGTTTTCGAAGCCTATTGGGCAGTGAGCATCACATCATCAGGTTGCACCCAGAAAGCTCCCAAGTCCAAGCTCGGCTGTTGCAGAAACCGCAGAGTGCGAGTGTGCGTGGCAAGCCGGCAAGCCTCAAAGTAGTTCGCACATTCGACTCTATTGCTGGAAGGCCCTTGTGAAAGTTGATTAAAGTTGCATCGGCACAACAGCAAGCTCTGCCTACTTGAGACTTCAGACTTCGCAGATTAAGTGCCTGCGTAGAAGCTGGATGGATGGATGCTGCCCTGGCCTCGGTTCCAGTCTTAAAGCAAAGTGCCTGGGTAGAAGTGCAGGGTTGGTGGTCAACGCCATGGCCAAAGTCACCCCTGGCGCGCACATCGACGTGGAAGATGGGGCTGGTTTGCCAGCAGCCGTGTCACCGCCCCTGCCAACCACCAAAGCAGTCATGAAGGCAAGCATGCTTTTGGCCCCGCATGTTCCAGATTCCAGAGCATGCAATCGAGCCGCTTCGGATGTCCGTCAGTGTCCATCACTGGTCCAGGTCGTTTGCAAGAAGAACTTGTACCTGGCGCTGAAGCGTGGGCGTTTCATCGCAGGCCCATTCCAAATGCGCCTTGGAGACTGGATGGTCCTTCACTTTCTGTATCGATGTATCGATGGCCATGATCATAGCCGCAGCGAAACATAGTTGAAGGCTCTAGGACTCTATGCCCTCATGGTTGAAGGGAATCACCATCGGCTCCCTGCGCAAGGTCTTGTGTGCATACAGTAAGGGTATATCGACGGCATGCAGCATTTCTTAGAATCTTCCTACCCAGGCTCATACAACTTGGCTTCACGGCTGCCCGGCAAACTCATACGGAGCCCTGCTTGGTAAGTTCTTGTGATGTAGTTGGCTGCGTCATGCTGTGGTCCTGCATCATCCGCTCTGCAGCTGAAGCACCGTTCCACGCTTCAAGCTGCTGCAGCAGTACAAGGTTGACCTGTCCGTACTTGAGCGTACTGTAGCCCGTGGGTTGCGCCACAAAGGTTATGATGTACTACATCTTCATGGGCATAGTTGACAACACAGAAATTGAGAACGGCGCCACCTTGGGGCGGTTCCTGATGGCATCCTTCCTGCCACTGAACACAGTCTTGGGCATTGCATTTTCGGTGAACCCTGCTGTTTATGATATTGTCGGTGAGAAAGACCAGAAGATGAAGATTTTGCAGAACATCTATGGTTTGTCAGAGAACATGTACTGGCTCACCTGGTACGCCTTCTACATGGTCATCGCTGTTATGAGCTTGTGCCTCATCTACATTTGCTGGCTGGCAGTAATCCCCGTGCTGGAGACAGTCAACTTCCTGATCTCCTTCATCATCCTGTCGACTGGCTTCGTGCAATCTATGGCCCTGGTGCCTGTGACTGCATGTCGGCCCTCGTAAACGCACAGGAATTATGATGTTTCTACGGCTTGTAGTCTCGACTTCTGAGAGTCAGAAAGACGTAGGGGACATGCCGCGATACTATGTCGCTATACTGACCCGGGCTCAACTTTTTCATGATAGCAGCTTTGTGTGAGGGTGTCGTTGAGAGGACCTGGAGCACCAGCGCTCAGAACTGCCTCTCACAATTTCGAAGTAGAGAGGAGAACTGTTGGACAGAAGGGACAGGCAAGGGGGAGCGGAGGGCATGTGGTGCTTCAGCCAAGATCTTTTGTCTCAGCATCTTCATCGACAGCCCGAGGATTGCAGCCACTCACCTGTTGGCACTGTTGGCACAGCAAACGGTGTGCTGGGTAGGCATCATTAGGAATCGATGCGTTGCAAGCCAAGGACTTTGTCATGGCAATAACAACCATGCTCCTCGTGTGCGGCAGCTCCGCTCTGCAGCACCTTGGGCTCCACTCAATCAAGCACCATGGGTGTAGTCGAATGTGTAGTCGAATACCCCGGTGCTCATGACCCTAGATGCACATCCAGCCTCTTTGCAACACATCTCTTAATTTTAACGCTACGCGACCCGCCTCGGCCCGGCCCAGCGCATCCGAGCGAGCACGGTGATTCCGCAGCACCCAAGTCGCTGGACCCCAAGCAATAAGGGTTGGGTTTAGGGTTTAGGGTTTAGGGTTCCGGGTTTATGGTTTCTGGTTTCTGGTTTAGAGTTGAGGGTTAGTTTAGGGTGGAGGGCTTCGGGCTCAAGGTTACGGTTTGGGGTTTCGGGTTTTTGGGTTTAGAGTGCGAGGCTCAAGGTTCAGAGTTTAGACAGTTCGGCTTGGACAGGATTCGTAACATAATGCTCACACCAGTTGAGCCGCGGGCCCCTCAAGCAAACAGCGGGGGCAGGGGGGGGGGGGGTGCATGTGGCTTTGGGTTGGGGGGAGGATTTGGAAGGGGGTGCCTGTTCTCACAACCTGATACACCTTCGAGGCCTTGGCGGCTGTAAGTGCCATCGGGCCTGGGCCTAGCAGTTGATTGGGCTTGTGGACCCCTGGAAGCATCTAGTGCTCGTTGATGCTCTTGGCGAGTGCTGTGCTCCCTCTGCGCTTGGCGCTTGGCATGGCATGGTTGGGCTTTGAATCAACCGTTCTCTTCGCCTCCTCGCTTATTGGTGTCCCGCTCTCGGCCTGGCCCTGGGCTTTGCAGATAAGCCCACAGAGAGTCCTGCTGTGGAGTGCTCTTGAGAAGCTTGCAGAGAGTCCCACCAAGTAACCCGCGAGTGCCACCATGTGCCACTGGCTGAGAGTCCCGCGGAGAGCCCCCCCCGGAGAAGACCATTCAGAGTCCTGAGTTTCGCCGAGTATCCCTGGAGTGCCCACCCCCAGAAACGCAGATAGTTGTTGACGTTGGGATCTCGCTGCTGCCTCGTCGTGCTCCGAATGCGGTTGGTACACGGTTGGGATTGTTGCAGATGTCCTGTGCTGACTTAGTGTAGCACGGTGCCGAAAGTTGAGGTTTCTGCTTCGCGAGCGAGCTTGGCTCGGCTGGCTGACTAGCTGCATTCCATTCTGCAATGTGCCTGGGCGCAGTCTCAGTATCACGGCGCGGGCTGCGCGTTCGTGCGTTCGTACTGTCCGGATCTTCAGAGCTTCGGCTTGAGGAGGGATGTGGCGCCCAAATGCGTCTGGATCGGGGAGAGAAACCCTCCTTTGCTACTCTGTCAACAGGCAACAACATTGAACCACTTGCTGCAATATAACCCCACCGGGGCCTTCCCAAGGAACTCTGCAGTGCAAATCTTCACTTTGCAAATGCATCCAGCCAATATATCCGCAGCAGCTCTTATTTCGCTTAACTCGATTGCAGCAGCGGCAGGTGTTCCAATCCATGACCTCCATGCTCTGGCTCAGTGCCGCCCGGAGCTGTGACGCAACTGGGCATGCATTTCAAGGTGATAGGGGACAGGGGATGGCAGCTTTGGCAGATAGGCTGCGGATTGTCGCTTGGGCCTCGAGCTGCATCCACACTCAGGAGTCGGGCGCATGCAGCTATGTGGGTGTGTCTCGCTCGCAGAATGGTCAGAGGATCAGGTTCGGTTGAGAAGTTCGCATAGGCGATACAGTACCACGCAGGTCAACTTCGACACGCTCTCGGTCACGGACATTTGTATGCTGGACTATCATCCGATTCACTTTCCCTGCCTGGAGGTTTCCAAAGCCACGATATTCCCACTTGGTTGGGCCATGCTTCTGACGGTGGCTACCACCGTCTTGACGGTCATCTTTGTGTGGTGGCTGAGTAACGTGAGACAGGGGCAGTACGGCATGGCAAAGCCTATGTGCTTCTGCTTCAACCCGAAGTACATGTGCCCGAAGCGACCTTACGCGAGTGATGGAAGTCTTCGAGACACAGCATCCGGAAATGCAGTGCTGTCGATACAACACTTGCGCAAGGTGTTTCCGGATGGCAAGGTGGCAGTGGACGACCTTTGCTTGGATTCATACGCCGGAGAGATCTTCGCACTTCTCGGCCACAATGGTGCTGGCAAAACAACCGCATTGAACTGTGCGGTAGGCCTGATACCTCCAACATCTGGCGAAACACTCATCAACGGCCACGATGTCCGACTCCTGATTGCCTTGGCATGTCGCAGGTCCTCTTCTTGGGGTGTCTGCATCAGTCCACCAACGCATTACAATCACATGTGTTCCGAGGAACTGATCTGCAGCGAGCACGCCACCAGATTTCTATATGCCCGCAAGACAACCCAAGCTACCCAGAGTTCAGTGTGCGACAACATCTCAAGTTCTTCAGCGCCTCAGCTTCAGGTTGAGACTTCCCAAGTAAATCATTCCTTTAAACTTCTGGCTTGCCACGTCGATTGGGTGTTTTTTTGCAACTGCTGGGCCGAGTATGTAGAAATGGAGAGGCAGTTTGTCCTGCCAGAGGCATGCTTCGAGGCGTTCCTGAAGCCAACGTCGATGACCAGATAGGCCACTCTTCAGATGCTGAAAGAAACAGACTCCGATGCAAGGTTCCATAGGTTCCAACCTTGACTAGGATACCTTCTACCTTCCTTGCACCTGAAGCCTTACAGAGCTAGGCACGATTCTGAACGCCTTGGGCTTGGACGACGCTTGGGCTTAAGTGCGTCAAAGGCTTCAAAGGCTTCCAGCCACAGGGCCAAACTTCACATCAGCAATTCTGGATTCTAAGGAAAAGAAGGACAGCCAGTGTGGGAAGCTCTCTGGAGGACAGAAGCGGAGGCTTTGGGTTGCCACAGCACTGCTGCTGGGCCAAAATGCAGGATGTTAGCTTTGCTGACTTGCTGTTCAGGCTGTAAAGTCTGGGAACTGCCCGGAACCATGCCATTTCGAGCCCGCGTTTGTTAAGGATCGGTGCTTCCCCAGTCTCGTTCCTGGACGAACCAACAAGCGGCATGGACTCTTCGACAACATCTGCTTTGGTTTAGTGCAGTTTCCTTCGTGAGCCATCTGCTGCCAACCCAAAATGACTGCCAAACCAGGACCCCTCCTCGCGGAGAGAGTTGTGGGACTTGCTGCTTCGCATGAGGAACACAGGCACTTCGTCTTGATGAAAGTGTTGAGGGGGCCTGAGGTAATCGGGCTGCCTTCCTCAAGCGACTTTTTTTTGCATGCACCTGTAGCCTGTAGCATGCGAGAATGCAGCACCAAGAGCAGTCGGAGTGGTGCATGTCGCAATTCACCCGCAGGCCGCTGCATCATCTTCACGACCCACTACTTGGAGGAGGCAGACATCCTAGCAAATCGCAAGGCACGATGCATCACGATGCCGTTCGCCCTGTGCCTTCGAGACTTCAGTGCTTGTGTGACAGGCCGTGCTGGCACGTGGGAAAGTCCAAGCCGTGGGCACTTCACGCGAGTTGAAGCACAGGTTTGCCCCTTAGCCAGGTCGCCACATTACCAGACACCTCGGTCAACTGAATATTAGCCAGGCATTGCCCACATTCCAGGGAACGGCTGAAGAGTGAAAGGATACGCAGAAGAGATACTTGAGATGGCTTCAAAAACCATAGAGAGTGCGAGCACTTTTGTCAGATTCGGGGTCGGCTACCGCCTCACGCTGGCGCTGAGCCCTCACGAAAGCGCCTCAGCCGCCGAGATCGAGCACTTCGTCCAGGACGAGAGAAGTACAAATGGAACGAGCAAAAGTATGCATAAATCTTGTTCCTTCTGTCTTTAGGGCAGTACGATATTGTCGCTGATGAAATATGTTTCGCAGGAGTACGTGCCATCTGCATCCCTGGAGAAGGGAGCTGACGAGGCCGGCGTCGATGCCAAGTCAAGATGTAGACAATGCAGATCCTTGCGCTCCCGGTTTTAGGAACCGCTGATGCTTTCTTTGGTCACGCAGGAGGTGCGGCAGGTGAACATAACCTTGAGCTTCGAAGAGGTCGACAAGTTTTCACCACTCCTCCAAGCACTGGAGCAATCTCAGCAGCGGCTCGGGATCTTGGATTACACACTGGGCATGTCCTCCCTGGAGGATGTCTTTATGGCTTTAGGCCGTCAGGCAGAAGAAGCGAAGCGGGAAGAAGGGGACAAAACGCCCGTCAACGTGGACTTTCAGGAGGTTGAGGCAGAATCCCCTGTGACACAGCCTCGAGCCGAATGCTCTGAGTGGCGGAGCATCAAAGCGATGCTGACTTTGCGCTTGTGCGCGATGAAGTTGAATCGGTTTCGGGCCTCGATGGTGGTTATTGTGCCGATCTTGCTCCAAGTGGGAGGGCTGAGCCTTTCGGGCTTGGGTGCCACATCCGACAATGGTGGCACCAATGGCTATGCCATCGCAGTGTACCTTGGGCTTGGGTATGCTGTGATCTGCTTGTGTAGTAGACAGAGTGTTGCCATTGCTGCCACTGCTGCCAATCATTGCTCATGCACCAGGTACCCCGCCATGGCCTACGGTGTGGCACTGATCAATTCAGCGTCGGATGTTGTCGCAGATTCCAAGAACAAATGCAAGTATGTCTCCATTTCTCAGGGCCTCACTCCTCGAGCATACTGGCTGGGCAGCTTTATGGCACATGCCGGACTTTTGCTTCCCCTTTCGGTGTCATTCATGGTTCTCTTCTTTGCAATGCGACCGGCTTCCATACCCGTTCAGAGTGCTCCTACCGCGGTACTTGCAATGTTCCTCTACCCCATTCCCACGACGCTTGCCATCTACAACTTGGCAGCGGCTTTCTCTACTGCCGAGTCGGTGCCCAAGTTGTTGCGACCGCTCCTTGCAGTTTCGTCCTGCCCTCAGCACGACCTACCGCGGTGCCGCATTTGGAAGATAGAAATATAGAGCCATTTCGAAACCTTCTGTCTCTGTCTCTGTGTGTGTGTGTGTGCGAGATTGATGGGCTCCTCGATTGATCGGTCGATTGGTTGACGGATGGATAGATTAATCGATTGTGCGTGTATTTGCTGTATGTTGCATGTGCGATTGTGCAACGCTGCGTGTCAGCGGCATGCTTCCAAATGAGCACCACAACACTCGTACCACCAAAATATGATGAAAGTCACCATGCATAGCTAGAGTCAGAGCAGCTACTGTGGGACAGACGCCGGCACCTAAACCGTTGAAGCACCGAATCGCCATGTAGCTGCTTAAGTTATGCGTGGGTCACAAGGTCGGTGTCGAAGATCGTGCCCGTGGCGCTGATGGCCACAATTTTACTGCCAGGCATTGCAGTTTGGACCCTGACGGCCTCTTTTGTTCCAGAGAGTTTGAAGACTGTAGCCCTGGTTTGGCACATCGTGAACTCCATTCTGAACCCGTGCTACTGCCTTCCTGGTGTGATGTCCTACCTTGTCAATGTGGATGGGCCAAAGAATCTGCCCGCGGGGGAGACCGAATGGGAAGAAGCAAGCCGTTTTTCCGTTTATGAAGATTTGAAAATAAGGTTCCCTAGCTATAACCGTTAGAAATGCCTGCATTATGCACAAAGACAGATCGCACTGTTTTTTTGACACTTTTGCGTAGTCGCTTGCGGAAGTGCTCGGCGCCATCAGATGTGGCAGGAGTACTTCGCAACTTTGACAGCCCTTCCCCTGTACGTGTTGCCCGTGACTTCGCTGCTGTTCCTGGCCAACCTCATTCGCTTGGACACTTGGATGCTGCATCAAGACAAGTGCTAACTGCTAACTGCTTGCCCTAAAACTCGAAGCACAAAGCTAGAAATTCACGGTCTAGAGAATTATGTTGTCGCCAAAGTGGCTCAATGGCCCAATGTCCGTGTTTCAATGAGTTGCTGCAGATTGCTGCGGGCTTTCCGTGTTCGACAATTCTGAGGATACCAAAAGCTACAGCAACAAGCCTGCAAAGCCGTCTGGGGAAGCGGGGAACACGGAGGACGAGGACCGGAGCTTGCCTGGCACGCCCTTTCACAAAGATGCGAGTACTCTCACACCCCTCTCACCATGAGCTTCGCAGATTCCGCAGGATGTGCGTGCCGAAGAGGAACGCTGTCGGGCGGAATCTCGGCAAAGAAGGAGGAAGCGCGACAATACTGTGGTTTACAGCAGTCACGTTGCGCACGCTCTATTATGGTAGTGTATTCGTCCTCACGTGGCGCGAAAAAAGCAATGAACAATCGAAGCGACGGCATCCAGGATTGTTGCATGTCTCCTGGTGTGAAGAACGTGCGAATGTCAGAGGTTGCACAGGAGGGTCGTAGAGGAGTGGGTAATGGGATATATAGAATGGGTTTGGTTTGGTTGGGCTTGGGTCAGAAAAGGCAGGAGTCGGACAAAGTCGACACCAGCAGGATATGCTTTGCGCTAGGGATGAATCTGAACAGGCCAGAGTTGCGTGAGTTGCCTGAATCCGGGGTCATACTGCCGAGGTGGCTGCTGCCGCAGATGCGGCCAGGTATGAGGAGCTGAACCATACTTATCAGGTGGCAGACACTGGCTCCCGTCCAGCCGTCACCTGCTTGCACAGGGATAGGAGACGCAAGGGAATTCTGCATTACAGGCCGCAGCCCTTCTTGCAATTCTGTTCCGGAAGTTTGCATGTCGGTAAGGAGCAACTCATTCAAGCTTGTGGAGCTTTCTGGACACGTGTTGTCACATTCGGGTTTGTTCAGCAAGACGAACCCAGTCTGCGAGAGAGAGAGAGAGAGAGAAACAGAAAGAAAGAAAACTTCGAACATCGACCTTCGTCCTCAGCTGATTGTATAGAGTTCCAGGAGTCGCGGAAGCGGGGCGTGCACCTGCAACGGGGTTTGCCCCAAGGAAGAAAGTAAAGAGAATCGCTGCACAGCCCCGAAGGGGCTCCTCATGCTCGGCAGAAGAAGAAGGCCAGCCTCACGAAAGACAGAGACTCGTGAGTCGTCGCGAGTGACCTTCTTCAGGCCGCTGCGAAGCCCCATTTGGTTGAGTTGTAGTCCTTTCGCAGAACTCGAGTTCAGCTAGGTGGAAGGCAACAAACTTGCATCTTCTCAATGTCAACAGTTGATCCGGCAATTCCCAAACGACCCAAAAAGTGAGCCGGCTTCGACCCTGGGCTAGTGTGGTGCAATTGTCTTCCATGGCCCGTATGGCGAGGCTCTTTGCAACAATGAAATCGAAGGTATCGAACCACCAGAAGTGTTTAGACAGGACCAGGGGGGGAAGAGGAAACCTTTGGCCCTAGTACCTTCATACACACGGAGGCTTCAGCAGCTGGTCGCCATTCTTCATTCCAAAGCTTCTCTCATTGCCACAGAATGTAGTCAGTTGACTTGTCAAGCTCATCCAATTGAGGCTTGCGCCAATCTAACACGCGAGTACAAGCTGCTTGGCACAGTTGTCTTATACATGCATATTCTGCGCCAGGTGCGAAATGGGAGGGTAGCTGCGTTGGTGCATATTCCGGCTCGCGTTCAGGTATGTGAATGCTGTGCGAAACATCAGCCTGGGAATTCAGAAAGGGGAATGCTTCAGCTCCTGGGCACGGATAGCAGTTGCAAGAGATGGCAACATGCTGTTTTTCTGCCACATGATAGTGATTCCACCCCGTGACAAGAAGTTACGCAGGAGAGGGGTCGTTCAGGATTGACATACTTTTGGCTGGCACTGTCGAACCCAGAAGGCAGAAAAGCGCACGCATCTCGAGAACCCCCCCCCCCCCCAGGCATTCGAATCCGGCTCGGGCTGTTTTGGCTTCCCTAGAGGCAGCATACTTGCAGATACTCAGAGCCGCGAAAAGGATGCCGAACCGATTCCACAAGTTACGCAAAATTCGACAGCCTGGCGTTGGGTCCAAGCAAGTCTCTGCCCATTCAATGCTTAGAATTGAAAACCCTCGACATCTGCGAGCCACTATAAACAGGCGCCGGCCTGCAGCATCAGAAGCTGCCAGCGCTGCATAAATCGAGAATTGCTGCTGCACAGTCTGACTGGGAACTTCGCCAAGGCATTCAAAGCTTCCGAAACCACCTACCAAAGCGTTGTTGGCATCGCCTTCCGGGTATCTTTGAAAGTCATCACGGTGTGAGGTTTGCTTGGGCCGAACGGTGCGGGGAAGACGACCACCCTCGGAATTCTGACGGGAGAAATCAGGCCAGAGACGGATGTTGAGGTTGTGCACCCCGGCAACAGGAAAAAGAGTCCCCCTGTTTGACATCAGGAATCCCAGCGCCGGGAAAGTGAGCATCTTCGGACACAACATGGCGCATCAGAAGGAGCCATGAACGCAGTGCAACAGGATGGAGCAGGGGAGCCGTGGAGCCATCAGCCCATGTCATGACGCGTTTATGGCCTTGCTCGAGGAGAGAGTTTCGGCCTTCGATCTGCTGGGCATCTGTCCTCAGGTGGATCCTTTGTGGGTGACTGCGGCTGCACTGAGAGTAGCTTGGGCCTTGGAGCTGATGTGCAGTACATGACTGCGGAGTTCTTACAAGTGCGTTTTGAGGCCGGTAGAGTATACAGGTAATGATGACCGAAGCAGCAATACAACAGAGGAGAAATGCAACAGCACACGATCATGTGGCTATAGCCACGCTGCCAGCAAATTCGATGATCTAGAATGTGCGATCTTTGACTGCATGGACCATCAGCGACTTGTCTACGAACAATTTCAACACCTTGGCCCAGGATGATATTTCTGGCAACGATCATCTTATGCGCCTTGGCTGGGCATAGCTCGTTAGACTTCCCCGTCGAGTCGCTAGTGACCGCTTGTGGGGACACTGCATCATGCACGCAAACATGATGAGAAGTTCACCACTCGGCGATAGGCGCACCTTGCAGGATTGGGCTCCCTCACATAAGAACTATATCACTGTGCCGTAGAGACCCGCGAGCATGGCAAGCACCGTGGCCTTCGTGGCGCCCGCCCTGCAAGAAGGGGCAGTGGCCAGGCAGATCCACACAGCACCCGCCTCGGCGAACCCCAAGACTTCTGGCGCTGGCTATGCTGGCCCCGCTGTGGCCTCGATCGCTGTGGCCCTGGCTGCGCGTACGGTGGGCCGCCAGCGCCGTCGCACCTCGGCCCGAAAGCAGGTGGCCCTGCGTGCTTCCACCTTGGACCAGTTGAAGCAGGTGGGCGGCAAGGAGGGTTCCATCCCTCTGAGCAAGTATCGCAACATCGGCATCATGGCCCATATCGATGCCGGTAAGACGACGACAACAGAGCGCATCCTGTACTACACGGGCCGCGAGAAAAACATCGGAGAGGTCCATGAAGGGCAAGCCACCATGGATTGGATGGAGCAGGAGCAGGAGCGAGGAATCACCATCACCAGCGCAGCAACGACGGCTTTCTGGGATGGTCACAGGATCAACATCGTGGACACGCCAGGTCACGTGGACTTCACGCTGGAGGTGGAACGATCTCTCCGAGTACTGGATGGTGCCGTGGCTGTTTTCGATGGCGTTGCAGGTGTCGAACCCCAGAGTGAAACCGTGTGGCGCCAAGCCGACAAGTACAAGGTGCCCCGCATGTGCTTCGTGAACAAGATGGACCGCGAGGGCGCAGACTTCTATAAGGATGTGCAGATGATGGTGGACCAGCTTGGCACGAATCCCGTTCCCATCCAGCTTCCGATCGGGAAGGGCTCCTCCTTCAAGGGTGTCTTTGATTTGGTGACGATGAAAACATTGATCTGGACTGGTGAGGAGCTGGGTGCGAAGTATGATGTGAAGGATGAGATCCCCGAGGGCATGGAGGAGGAAGTTGCTAAATGGCGCGAGAACCTCATCGAGAAGGCCGTGGAGCAGGATGAAGAGGTTCTGGAGGCCTACTTGGAGTCTGGTGAGGCGCCATCTCTGGAGGACCTCAAGAAGTGCATCCGTATTGGAACGCTGGCATTCAGCTTAGTTCCCGTGCTTTGCGGTACGGCCTTCAAGAACAAGGGTGTGCAGCCTTTGCTGGACGCCGTGTGCGACTACCTGCCATCGCCCGTCGATCTGCCGCCCACCAAGGGCAAGAACCCCAAGAATGAGGCAGATTGATGCTTCAGTGAGTCCATTGGCACGTCGACTTGTAGCGAATGTAGCCAATCGTTGCTGAAGCCCGCTGTCGGCGTTTGCAGGAGGAGGAGATCGAGCGCAAGAACGAGCCAGATGAGAAGCTTTCCGGCTTGGCCTTCAAGGCGGTCTGACACGGTCAAGTGTCTTGCGTATGGACGTTCTGTGTCGCACAGTCGTTCGGCCCACCCAATTGGGTGTCTGTGTCTGTGTGAGTTGGTGTGTGACTCAGGTGGCCGCAGATCCTTACATCGGCACCTTGACCTTCTACCGACTCTACTCTGGCAAGGTGAAGAGTGGCGAGATGGTTTGGAATCCAAGGCCTCTGTGTGTGCGTGCAAAGTGCATTTCGGGATGAGGTTCTGACTTGTTCCGAAGCTGTGTCACGCATAACAGGCATGCCAAGCTATAGTTGCCCATATAGATGCCTGGAGGACCAAGTCCAAGGAGCGCATGGGCCGAATGGTTCTCATGCCCCTTGGCGTTTCTCTCAGCACGTAGGCGCTCTCGTTCGTAGCATGCGTTTGGGTTGTGGGCTCGGGTCTCGCCTCAGGCACTCAAACAAACGCGAGGAGATCAAGGAGGCCCAGGCAGGCGACATTATCGCCATTGTGGGCTTGAAGGACACCACCACGGGTGATACCCTGTGCGCCGTCGACTCTCCCATCGTGTTGGAGAAGATGGAGTTCCCAGAGCCTGTTATCAAGGTCTCCTGCGAGCCGGACTCCCAGAAGGATGCGGACAAGATGGGTGAGGCACTTGCCAAGCTGGCAGCAGAAGACCCATCCTTCCGTTTCAGCCGGGATGAAGAGTCCAACCAAACAGTCATCGAGGGCATGGGCGAGCTGCATTTGGAGATCATCATCGATCGCCTCAAGCGAGAGTTCAAGGTGGAAGCCAATATTGGCAAGCCCCAGGTGGCCTACCGCGAAACCATCACAGAGCCTGTCGAGCTTTGGTACACCCACAAGAAGCAGACGGGAGGCTCTGGCCAGTATGCCAAGCTCTGCATGTCCTTCGAGCCCAACCCTGGAGAGGGCTTCGAGTTCTCCAACGAAATTATCGGCGGCACCGTTCCAAAGGAGTACGTGCCCGCAGTGGTCAAGGGCACCGAGGGCGAGCTCTTGAACGGCATCCGCATGGGCTTCCCAGTCGTTGACGTCAAAGCCAGGCTGAAGGATGGCGGATTCCACCCGGTGGACTCCTCTGCCATTGCTTTCGAGATTGCAGCTCGGGCATGCTTCAAGGAGGGCGCCGGTCAGGCGAAGCCCATTGTCATGGAGCCGATTATGAAGGTCGAGGTCATCACCCCCGAGGAATACATGGGAAACATCATCGGAGATCTGAACAGCCGTCGAGGCATCATCCAGAACCTCGCAACTCGTGGCAACCTCCACGTTGTGAATGCAAGTGTGCCCCTGGCAGAGATGTTCAGCTACATCGCTGAGCTGCGCAACTTGTCCAAAGGCAGGGCCAACTACGCCATGGAGTTCGAGAAGTACGAGCCCGTGCCCGAGAACGTGGCGGAGTCCATTGAGGGCAAGAGCTGAGAGAAGCGATGATGACTTCGCACTTTCCCAAGGTCCCAAGGGCCTAGGCCTAGGCAAGCTACGACGAGGAGCTTGAGGATGGCGTCTGCCCCAATATGTGGTGACAGTTCCTTCAAATTTTGTGTTCTGTTTTCAGGCCAAGATGGCCCAAACACGCCTATGCAATGCAGCACCTATTTCCCACTGTGGTCCAAGACTGCTAGTGTTTTTCCTGCACATTTTCGAGGTGATTTCTCTGCTCCATTCTATCAGCTACGTCTGTGTCCCCGCCAGTGGAAAATTTTCCCCATATCATATGTTTCCTTGACTCCTTGACACCATCCCGTCGCAACCAGTTTACATCTTGGAGCACGACTACCCGCCACTCTCTCTTATCTGAGGTATTACGGCCGTGTGAAAGGCGTGCCAGAGGTGGAACTGAAGGACACCGTACACCGGATCCTCCAGCGCCCTAAATAGCATCTGGAGAGCGAGCAAGAGGGTGAACTAAGGGTTAAGCCTTTTTTTGATTGAGACGAATGGGCCCAAAGAGCTGCAGAATTTCGGGAATGTCTGCAAGGATGTCAAGGGCAGCGGTAGGGTTTCTTGGCCATGAGGCGGCTTGGCCTCCTGCCCGAAGATGCAAAGAAGGCTGTGAGCAGATACAGTGGTGGGATGAAGCGGACACCCGGCCTAGATTGAAAAGCATAAACAGGGGATTGATCGTAGGGCCTTGGTGGCAGCCAGCAGCGTCGGCAGCTGAAGCAGCCATGAGAAATGTGTTGAGTTGAATGTTCTTATGCTGCCTTAAGGAAGCTCAGTGTCGCCATTGCTCTCATCGGCCACTCCCAGGAGCACTTCACGATTTGAGGGTTTGGGGTCTGCAGCCTGGCATTGCCCATGTCCGGAGGGCTTCCCAAGCTTCTCCCAGACAATAGCAGCCACAGCAGTCATCGTCGACTATTGTCTGGCGCCATCAAAACATAGCAAAACCATGCGTGCCAAGAATCTGCAGCAGCGAGCCCCACTTATCGCGGACCATGGCAGTTGACTCACACGCAAACACAAAGCTCCACCCCCACCCACATGAACAGAATGCACCCCTTCAACTCATCAGTTGAACGTGCTTGGGAAACGATCGTGAACCTCAGCCCAGACAGCCCCTCACCAAGATTCCAAACGAAGGTCCTGGCAGCCCAAAGTCCCAAGACCCTCTCGGAGTTTCTCATTGAGATTGATGGAGTCGTGGAGACTTTGCTCTCTTGCATAAAGCCCAGCTTCTGGTGTCAGATGTTGTTCTTGGATGAGCCCACGGCAGCGGTGGATGCGGGTGCGAAGCGCCACCTCTGGAAGGTCCCAGGACTTCAATGTGTGAGATTGGGTTTTGGGGGCATCAGTAAAGTAGGCTGAAGTCCAGGAAGTGAAAATGTGGGAGAGAAAGCTGCAGAAGAACAACAGAAGAGATAGGGGAGGCCTAACATGTGGGAGAGAGAGTTGCAGAAGAAGAGCAGAAGATATTGGGCAGGCCTAGCTCAGGCCCAAAGTTTGCAAGTATTAGTCGGAGTCCTGTGTATTGGTACTACTGCTGCTACTACTACTACTACTACTACTACTACTACTACTACTACTACTACTACTGCTACTGCTACTGCTACTGCTACTGCTACTACTGCTACTGCTACTGCTACTGCTACTGCTACTGCTACTGCTACTCCTACGACGACGACGACGACGACGACGACGACGACGACGACGACGACGACGACTACTACTACTACTACTACTACTACTACTACGAGTACTAGAACGAGTACTAGAACGAGTAGCAGAACTAGTACTAGAACGAGTACTACTAGTGCTACTCCTGCTACTGCTACCTACTTCTACTACTGGTCGTATTCGTACTCGTGGTGGCAGTAGTAGGCATGAATAGTAATAGTTGTAGTCCTTATTCTTTTGATTCCTGTGATTTATTTTCTTTGGTCTTTCTATGTCTTTCTTTAATTCTTCTTAGATCACCTGGGGGAGCGAGTCAGCGAGCGACCCTGACTGACCCCTGAAGCAGCTGAATCTTCCGAATCTTCAGGTGATCAACAAGCGTGCACCTGATCAGAGACTTCCCTGGAGCAGGTTTCAGCACTGTGGGTTGAGATTTCTCTCTCGAATTATTTCATTAAACTCGACTGGCGCACTCGAGACAAAGTACCGGATCTGAGAACTAATGTGAAGTTGCACGGCTGCTTGCGGGGATTTAAGGCTTTGTATTTGGCATTTACACAGCTTGTCAGAAGAACGCGCCCATCACTCCACCATTCAAGGACTGTGGTCCTTACGACACATTCCATGGAGGAGGCCGAGGCGCTGAGCAGCCGCATGGCCATCCAGGCGAGCCGACTTCCTTTGAGCTTTGCCAAAGGCTGAGCCAGGCTTTCTTGCAGGACGTATGCAAGAGAAGGTCCATGAGCCAGGGGTGTCAGGATTGACAAGTCCCAGAGTGGGACTAATCAACTAATCATGGCCCGCAGGTTCGGGGAAGCCTGCGCTGCCTGGGCACCACAATGCACATCAAACAGAAGCGGCCAGGCAAAATCCCGGCGTGGCCAAGATAGAGCCAGTCGGGTGGGGGGGGGGGGGGGGGGGTACAGTAGCTGGAGAAACTCACGCAAGCAGATGCTACCAAGGTATGGCACCGGAGACTCGGCAGCAACTTGCAACATTCTAGGAACGGGGGCGTGCGCCAAAGTCGCTAAACTGTGTAGCATCCAGCGGAAGCCGAGCATGCTAGCAGACGATGGTAGCAGGCGCACCACCTTGCTGTCAGCGGGGTTATTGGGTGAGGGTTCGCGTGCCAAGGGAGCTCCAGTCACTGGTGTCACCTCTGTACGCAGCCTCGCAACTCTTCGAATCGCAAGGAATTAAGCCACACTCACGCTGAAAGTGTTGGACGCGAAGACACTGCTGCATTTGCGAGAAAACCGGACGTCAAAAGTGAATTTCTAACAGCTTGCTGCAACGTCTCCGAGGTGTAGAGTTGACCAAAGCAGTTGCAAATCCAAACTGATGTGACCAAAACACGACGGTGTGACTTGAATTGAAGAAAACAGGGCCTTCTACAGAGTTACCAAAGCGTGATATTTGGAAAGTTTCCCTACCGGTCCCCATTCTTTCACCAAGCCAAGGCTACCAGCTCGAGCTCTTTCTGTCACAAGGTGCCAGCGTGGGAGATGGCTTCGCAACAAAGCAGGAGCTGCGGAGATGTGAGTGCAGCTGCAGTTCACTGTCCAGGGGCTCCCATGCTCACAACTGACCTTAAGCAAGTCTTGAATTCTGGTGAATGTCCACAAGTAGGAAGAGCTGGGGGCTTTCGTGCAGCAGAAGATTTCTGCAGATTCTTCCCTTCTGGAGGGGCACGCAGGGAGATTCTTGCAACTTGGCAGCTCTCAAAAGCGACCTGGGCCTCGCTGTGGATTGTGCGGATGCTGGTGTCAAATCCTATCAATTTCTATCGAGGTATCAGCTTCCGCCTCGTGGTGAGTCATTACAGCTGGGCCGTGTCTTCCAGGCAAAGTTTCGGGTTGGACTTTTGGCGCAGAAAAAAGTTTGCACAAACGGCTCGGGCTCAGAAGGTGTTCCGGTCATTGCGAATCGCAGGCATTGGAAGCGGAAAAGGGCCGCGACACTGCTGCAAGAGGAACATCTTTTAGGACACGAGGTTTCTCATTGATTGACTTGATCCGCCTGGCAAAACTGGGAGGAAGCAACATGCCTGATCATATCATGTCGTAACCCGATGAGTCACGATGAGGCTTTCATTCGCGGGGTATTGCCCGAAGCCCTGACTTTCTCAGGCTTGGGCATCACGGACTACAGCCTCTCCCAACCCTCCTTGGAGCAGGCACGTCTTGAATTTCAGAGCGATTGGTAGCTTGCGAGCATCTTGCATGGAATACATCTTTTTGCATCTGCGGCTTATGCAGGCTCACTTAGACAGCCTTTGCTAAACTTCAACCCCTGGGCTTGAGATTTCTCCCAGCACCTACAGGAGTAAAGGCAGGCGTTCTTGAGCCCTCATGTTCTGCGTTGTGAAAACAACTCCGCGGAGGTTTTTCCGCAAGGTGGCACTCCCTCCCCCCTCCCCCCTCCCCCAACGACTTGAATAACAGAGCATCAAAACTGGTGTCGATAATGTGACTTCACAACGAGGTGTTTGACTTGTTTGTGGGAATAGCACGTCCTCGTCAAAACCGACACGATCCCGAGGTCTTCCTCCGATTCGCGAAGGAGCAGTTTGATGCACAGAAAGCAGAGGGCGCCGAATGACTCTAAGTCGGTCATCATTGCTCCTGCTAGGGCAAGGCCACAAGGCATGAGCCAGAAGAAGCTGTTGCGGTGTTGCGTTGGCAACGGCTGCAACGGCTTCTCCGGCTCTGCTTGGGCGCGGAGGGGTGGAGACTCGAGAGGGAGGCAGTTTTTGTCATGGCGTGAAGTTTTGTTCAATCAGCTGTAAGTCGTTCAGGTCCAAGACCTCATCGTTGCTCTCTCTCTTGTGGCTGTTCGAGAGCTTGACTTTTCTAGACTGCCACAACAAGCTCGACAAGCTTAAAGACTGCTATTGGACTAGCGTGAAGCACTCGAGCAGCGCATAGGCCGATTCGGCAAAAGGGAGCTTCGACTTTCAATGTAGCTTTGTGCCCGTGGACGTTGCGGGCGGCGCGACTACCCATCGCTTGTTCCACCGTGCTGCAGAAACAGGTTTGTCGAAACATGCTCATTCGCCTGGTCGGCGGCCTGCAGAGTGGAACGAGTGTGTTGGGCGCGTTGTAAAGTTCAGCTCAGCTGAAACGTTGAGGGCATGACTGGGCTCTTGCAGGACGAGCCAAGCTCAGATTGCGAGCTGAGGCAAAGCATGACGGCTGCGAGGATTGTCACAGCGCAACACAACGCATTCTAATGCTCGTCAACTTTCTCGGACGGACAACATAAGACACAACTCCTGTTCGCAGATCAAATCATCAAAACGAGGAACCTTGCACGACTTGGCGTTGTAGCAATCAGAGTAGCATTTGACAGTACAAGGAGTCTGTGCGGAACGTATATAGACATGTAGAAGCGGTCGTGCCCAGAAAGCACTACGCTCATCGGGCCTTTGGGGACATTGCTTCTGCCATGCGGCCGGGGTCAACGACAAGAGCTTGTCTTTGTTCAACTTTGTTCCTTGTGGTGTGCAAAACTGCAATGACGTGGTACATGTGTCCATGGTAACAGGGGGAATGATGTCCAGGCAATGCAGCTTTGTTGGGGAAATGCTCAGAAAGCTGCCTGTTATTTGCATTGCAAAATGCAGGTTGCGGAAAACTGCTGAAGGACGGTTTGCACTTTGTAGTAGTGAGCCTTTGGCTGCGCGAACGTGAGAGGAGGAACCGCGAAAGTCGCGACCATTCTGTGGCAGGAAAAGCTATGGCAGCTATGGAAGAACGGGATTGCAATCTTGCCTCGGTGTGGTTTACGATGCCTCGCGTTGAAAGCTTATACATAAAGCTTGGAAGGATATCCATGTCCTTGCGATAATGAAGATGGCCCACAAGGTTTTTGCTTTGGGTACAGCGAAGAAATCCCATTCCCAATGAGCAACATTGTGCTTTGTTTGGTGTCCGGCTGCGTGGATGTACCCGTGTGCCACGTTGGGTTGTTTCGTTTGGCTGGGATGCATTGATTCGGGTTGTTTGTCTTGCTTCGTTTGTCTGGCTTCTAGGCATAACTGTGCAAATAGAGTTTTGACTATGCTGGCCCAGGCTGGCCCCAGAAGACAAGAAAGGAAAGCAGCAACCGAGTCGAGTTCAACAGACAAGAAAGGAAAGCAGCAACTGAGTCGAGTTCAATAGACTGAAGTGCTTTTGAGAGTAGCGTGTGCGCTGGCACCATGTACAGAGACCTGGTGCATTCCCGCGGCTGCATCATCCTTTCGCTTGCAAGCTTGTTAAGCAAGGCTTGCATCGGATGCCTGCGGCGGGACAAATATGTGCGTACCAGATGATGCATTGAAGTTTTGAGAGCTGTCACATGCGGCTGGTTGTGTTCGGCGAAATCTGCGGGCCCAGGCGATGCTGCTCTCCTGGATGCGTTGAAGGCAGGTGCTTGCACCTCCAGAATTAGGCCCTGTGAACTACGGAGCAGGCGAAGCAGGCGAATTGCAATTGGAACTTCGGATTTCCAAAGCCATTGAAGCTCGACCCCGTCAAGGAGTCGTCGAATGGTCCGAAAGTCTTCACTTCATTTTAACGCTACGACGGCAGGGGGTTCGCTGTTGCCAATGGCAGGAGGCATGGCATGTGCGAGCTTAGACGCGGAATGAAAGAATCAATACTTCAGCCCTCACCTTTCGAAAGTACATACCTGCCGGCCCTCGGAACCTCCATATGGAGGGGTGGGTCGAAGCGGAAGGGGAGGAAGCTTGCACGGGAAAATGTGGTTCCCAACGATCGCTCAGATGGGGGGTGGGGGAGGACGCAGCTTCGGCAGGCCTCGGCGGAATCTGAATTGGGCTACGTATACAAATCGGAATCCGAGACCCTGACCCTGACAGTCCGTAAAAATGTCGGGTTCGGCGGGGCAGCTGTCGGGGATGGCTGCCCATTTTCTCTTGCTGCAAGAAAGCATCCCATCCTCAATTGCTCCTACAGGTAGGGATTTCCTACCAGTCGACACAGACCCGCCGGCTTTCTGTGGTCGTTTGTGTCTCCCCTTGTCTCCCTTCATGTTCTGGCCTACGCTGTTTGGGGTCTGAAGTCGCTGGCAACGGTTTGAACCCGAAGTTGCCACTAGCGTGGCGGAGTCATGATGATCACTGCAGGCCGTCAACCAGGCTGTGACCAATATGAACCACATGACGCCAATGTCGCAAAGCCCGATGATGTCATCGGGCCCAGCAGGACGAGGAAAACCATGTGCACGGTGTCGGTGTAGCAACGGACATGCAGCCCGCGTCGCAATGTCACAGTTGTGCCCACGAAGACGCTGAGGCCGCAGGTGCATTCGCCGCCCAAACCGCAGCTGCGTTTCTGCCCGAGCTGCGGAGCCAAGGCTGTCAGTGTCAAGTCGGGTCAAGGAGCAGAATCGGCTCCAAGTCGATGTGATATGTAGAGTTCTGGGGCTGAGCACGTGCCAGAAGTCCACTTTGCACAACAGGTGATCAGCCACGCCCACCGTTTCTGCGCTTACTGTGGTGAGCTTGGTGTAAAACAACCCACTGATTTTGCCGGCATGTTTCTGCTTTTTGCCAAGGCTGCTTCCCCTTCAGCCACCTTCAAGAGGAGACTGCGCCCCCCAAGGCTCCAGCTCCTACAAACCCGATGCCGCCCCACGGCGGCACTCAGCACAGTCAGCTCCGTCAGTCTTCTGTCAACCGGCTTAGGCAACTTCGGACGATGTCGTATGTTCCTGAATCTTTCGGCCTTCCATTGAGGCTGGTTACAACGCCTATGCAGATGATGCCTGGAGGCAAAGGAAGCTATATCGTTTCCACAGCTCACCACTCATCCTGGCTCATCCTGCATACGGATTCAAAAGAAAAATGTCTCGCTGCGTGGAGGCAACATGGAGCCCCGCATGGAGCCCATGGAGCAAGCTCTTTTCATGAACATGCAGCAGGCACATGGGTTGCCCGGGATGCCAAATCAGCGTAAGCCTCCCTTCAAGGCATCCTCAGCTGCTTCAATTCTGTGGAGTAAGCTCTTGGTCGACACATGCCTTTTGGTTGTCGATCTTGCAGCATTCCGAACATCCGCCCTCTTATGTTCGGCACGAGGCCGCCGGAGCTTCTTCTGAGTTAAAGTTTCTCTGAATATTCGCCACCGAAGTCTCGAAGGTCGCTATGCCGCAGGCCATGATGGGTAACCTGAAGGCACCCGGTGCTGCATATTTGGAAGGAACGAACACCTTGGTATGTAGGACCATGGGCTTGCACATGCAAGACAAGTCGCTTTTGTGGGAAGTGGCTACCTAGCTCAAGTTGAAAGTTCTCGGCCAAATGAAACACGCACCTGGTCAGTTTGCAACTTTGGTGTGGGTTTCTGTTGAACTGCAACCTGTGAAGGCCAAGATGCCAGCCGTGAAGGACGCAACATCCTCAGCAAGAAGCGACCAGCAAGAAGGATTGATTTATGTTCGTGATGTCCAGATGCAGTTCTCAAGAGCTTCGGCCACTGCTAAGGACAGCCTGCTCGGGAATCTTCGCCACTTTCGCCTCTTGTCTTGGTAAGATTCCATAAGCGCGTCCGGTTGAATGCACAGGGTTGCCGAGTCCGCTAAAGTGATTTGATGGCCACGAGGGTACGTAAACGATATTGCTGCTGCTCGTGTGATTTCGTTCTCGGGGCTCCACCGTCACAATGCTGCCACCTTCTAGCACTACTGAACCGAGTCCAGCATGCAGAGCAAGTGCTTGTGCTTGCAGGGCTCTTGCAGAGTCACTGTCTTTTGGGCGTGCTGCGTCGCAGTAGGTACACCGATTGGATGGTCTTTGCTCTTCCCTGCCCCTCCCCTCTCTCTCTATGAGAAGAGCAGGCTACGTGGAAGCGGACCAGATTGACGTTGAGCTTGCCAAGGTGCAAGAAGTGCTTGTAGCAGTGCCAGCTTGTGATCGCAGAAGCGGGACTTCAGCAGTTCTCTTTGATTTAGTTTCGAACTGCATGAGATTCAAGCCGCAGGTTCTTTGCTTGACTCACATCCGGGCAGCTTGGCCAAATGCCTTACGTTGAGTGTTGCGCGGCTGTGGGACTGAAGCTTAAGTTGGCTTGTCGGATCGGCCGACTATCTTTAGTACTGTGATGGTTGAGCGATGTTGAGCCTGGGTGCGTGGTCAAAACCCAGGCAAAAACTCGAATCTGCATGAGCGAGAAGCTCTGGCAGGTCACCAAACACTTTAGAATCGAGATCAGGCAAACTTTCGCGAACATGGATTTTCGCTCGGCGCTTGATACGACTTTCTGGGTTTTTTGCAGGGCAGCTCTCGCCACGAAGTGGGCACGCTTTACGTGTGCATCTTGAAGGTTTTGAAAGGCTTGGGGTTGGAACTATCCGAGGGAAGCAGAAGGAACTGCGTGACAACCGCGCGTACTCAACGCTCCCCCACCCACCCAACAGACAAGCGCGGGCAAGCAGGGGAAGAGGGGGGGGGAGGGGGGGACAGGATGCATCCAGAGTTTAGGGTTTTTTGGGCGTAGGGTGTGAGCCAGGGTCTAGGGTTTCGCGCTGCGGCCTCATTGGTTAGTGCTCACTGATCGACTCCGTCCCTTCGTTGTGCAACTACTGCTGACTCCCAT